GCGACCTGCGCCAGGATCACGAGGCCCATAGGCACAAGCGAAAAGAACGCAGTCATGCCAATCATCGACCGGAAACCCAGACCAGCCTCGGGTCTCGCACCAGGGACAACAACGTACTTTGTAGTGTCAACGCAGAAGATACCCAGGCACTGCATCGTCTCGTTTCCCCACACCATTCCCAGGCTTCCAACGACAACGAGGACGACACCCAAAGCACCGAAAACAGCCAATCCCAGAATCCCACTCCATAGCCTCATCAGCGTGCTCACACCAACGTACAAGAGCGTCACGCCAGAGGAGGAAAACACAGTGAACAGCAGCAAGCCAATGAAGGTAAAAACATCGTAACCAACCCATCCATTGGGATATACCCCCTGGTGAAAATAATCCGCTCCGTTCCACCACCCAAACCCCATGGATGCGATCCCGAGGCTCGTAATACCGCTTAATATGCAGAATGTGGCATATATTCTTGCCCCAATTTTTTTGGGTTGTGGTGCCGTATCAAGCAGTGAATCATAATCATCTTCCTTTTTTTTTGGCATTCCTTTTTTTTTTTTCTTTGCTTCCTGCTACAATATGTGAAGAACAGGTGGTGGAAATACTACAACAGGTGTTTTGGAAGTGATTATAGTGTATTAATGAGAAATTGAGCCATAGATGATAAGGTTTCTTTTTTTTTTTCCTTTCTTTATTTTCTTTTTACAACTCCGACTATGTGTTACAGTACTAAAAAATTGAATTTCTTCTATCAGGGATACTGTGTTTGTTACGGTTCTCTTCGATGTACATTGTTAATATGTACGTTTTACATTTAACTTCTTTTGTAAAATAAATATTTCTAGACGAGGTTATTTTTTTTTCGTGGTGACGATTAATAAAGGGTTCTTCACGTCTTGGATTTTTTCGTCAATCTGGCAAGTGAATTCACTGATGTCACTGCTTTTGACGACATCAACCAATGGTAGGAGAGGTCTACGGTGTTATTACGTGCAAATATTATTGATGTGTGTGTGTGTCTGTGTGTATTTCTTCTTTTTTTTTTTTAGACGCTCGTTGGTATTTTATCAAGCTTTATTTTTCCTTTATTAGGTAACAGACTCCATACCTTTGTTTTTAGTACAGCACTGTTTTATGATACGCCTTGAGATTCATATAACTTATGGTTTTTGTTGACGTTCTCGTTGTTATTTCGGTTCTTCCATATTTGTTTTGTTTTGGTACATTAAGACTTTTCATTCATTAGTGCGAATGGAGTATTACCACTAGTTCTAAATCCTTTTTACAATATTCCTTTGGTGCGGCTGGTATCCTCCCTCATTTATGATTATCTAACCAAAAACCTGAATAATCATGTGGAACCACACCTTTGGAGGCTGAATATTTGTAGTTGTGACTGAGTTCTTTGACATTGCTGAACCCTCGAGTAAAGACCTCTAATGTCTTCCTTCATGACGCCATATCACAAGAAAAGAAGAAAAACACTCTTTCACAAAGTGTTGATGTACTGGATCCACCAGTTATACAAAACTGTGCACTTACCATTTATTCCTGGTAATGATGCCTAACCGTCGTCTATCAGAATCTCCCAATATTTACTGATTATAGGAAGTGCTTGATTTTCCACTTTGCAGCAACAGTCAACGATAAAGTACATTCCCTGACAAGTATCCCATTTCTCTTGTACATGAACAAAATAATCCACCACACATGTACATTGAGTATTTCACAATTTTCCATCCCCCATATAAGTATAGCTGATCGTATTATTATTATCATTATTATTATTATTATTATTATTATTATTATTAGTTCAAGAGAACCATTCAACAAACGATAAATCAAGATTATCCATGCATATTATTTGAGAAATGTCAATGAAAGGAATAGTAACCATATTTGATTTCGTTCTCTCAGACGAGTCCAATACGCAGTTTTCTCTCGATAAATATAATATTTATTTTCTTCATTGGATTTATTTTCCAGGTAATTTTTTCTCTCTCCTCCACACCATGGAAAAAACAAAGTTGTAAAAAAAAAAAACCAAAGGTAGTTCGATCACCCAACGATTCAAAAATCGAATGTCAATCAATGAAAAGAAAAAAAAAACGTTAAAGAAAGAGAAAACGTATTGTGAATTTGGTAATTGGGACGTAAACCAAAACCAAGTTAGAAAAAGAGTTAGCTGTGTCTTCATTTGAGGGAAATGACTGTGTTTATTGGACAGTTTGAAATGGGACAATTTGAACATCATGAATAAAGCAAAGGTAGTGGGATAATGGGCAGAGACTAATCCGCCGTTCTTCCCAAGAAGAGAATCTTGGGAATAGCTTTGTGAAAAGCAACCCCACTCCACGGTGAGCAAAGCAAAAAGAAAAACAAAAACTCGCCACATATGTAGAAATAAAGAAGCACCCATATTCACACCAACAGATAAAAAAGCATACAAATTCACAATAAAAGATGGAGAATAACGAGAAAGAAACCAACATTAAATATCTGAAGGGATGGTTTCAACACTGGAGCGGGAAAAACAAACAGTGGATCCCATTATCTTCCAAATCCATGCCAGAAAAAAAGGAGTTTGAAATGCACACAATCCACCACAACACCCCATCGTACTTAGAATATATCCAACTGTGCTCAGAGAATCCATTATTTGTCTAACCAGTGAAACTTACAGGAAATCCCATCATCTGCTAGAGAAGGCCCTCAATTAAAGATAACCTCTGCAACAGAGAGAAAGCCGTGGAAGCAAAAAAAAAAAAACGAAGAAATAAACCCTTAATAGTAAATCACCTCAATAGTTCCAAAAATAGAAAAAAAAACAAGAAAAAAATACAGCACCGCCAAAAAAAAACCTCTTTTATTTTGCTTTTTCTCATGACATTCCCCAGAGGATTGAAAGAAATATGCGCCTGGATTTAACCTACTGTCCTCCTTCTACGCCTGAAAAAAACATTAAACATAAGAAAATATTAATAGATAGATTTAATGTCAACATCCTTCCATGTTATATCTCTATCAACAGTTCAACCAACATCAAATCAAATAATTCATAAAAAGAAATCTATAATACACGAATTTCTTGATTACTTATAAAGTAGCAGACCTTTCGGGTTTCGTCACCACTGGATCCCTCCGCGTGGAAGTCAATAGGAATGAGTGGGTCGGAAAAAGAATAAAAAAGCCTTAATCCTCACATTGCAACACGGTTATCCTCTGGGAAAATATAAATCATAGGTAAAGAAAAACATCGTAAATAAAAACAAATTTATTATCATTTATTTAACATTATCTTGTTAGATATTCTTTCCACAAGCTTCTATAAAAGTATATATATATATATATAACCAGTTCAGTGTGGGGTCTCAGTATTTGAAGTTCCTCCAAGCTTGACAAAATGTAACCACAGTTCATCACCTCAATTATAATCGCACCCTCTCCCAACCTATCTCCGTCAGAAAGTTTTTTTTTCTCACAAATCATCACCAATTAGATCGAAGTACATAAAGATTCTTCTTTACCGCAGAATCCGACCGCAAAGCCCACCACCACTCATGAATAGTAAAAGAGAGGAAATTGTCTCAGTAAAAAGAAGGAGAAAAAAAAGACAAAAGAGTTTTCCTCTTATAAAAAAGAAAAAAGAAAAGAAAATTGTATCCCCAGGAAAGTAGACTAAAAACAAAAAAAAAAAGGGTCCTGGACGTCCTCTTCTATTTACCACCTCGGAAAAGGATTAGTTAAAGAGAAACATATTTGAAAAGAAGATGAAAATAAAAAACTCCACACCGGTCACCCGTTTTCTTTTTATTATTATTTCTTTCCCCTTGACTCCGGCGGCTCAAAAAACAAGGTGTAAGCTTCCATGCGACCACCAAACAAAAATGACGAAAAAACCCCGAGAGATTCGCGCGAGGACCCCAAAAGGCGAAACACCTGTTCTTTTCCATGGAAAGCATCGAACCAAAAGGTCGGGCGCGAGCGAGGCCATTCCCTTGACGTCCGGCCTTCGGAAGATCACCGGACCCCCCTTTCCGGCAAACGGCCCCCCGACCCACCGCGCCCCCGAGGGCGGAAGAAACGCGAAGAATCGCAGAACCCCCGCCAAAAATGACGCCACGCCCACAGAAACGGCCCAGGAGGCCGAACCCAAACAGAGACGTGAGGGTGCGCTGTCTGCGGTCTCCGTGGGGGCCGCGGGCGGGGCGCTCGGCGAACCCCTCGCCTCCTAAACCCGGGAGGCCGCCACGGCGCCGCACCAACGGATAAAACATTCCAAACACGACCCCCGTTTTTTTTTTTTTTTTTTAGTTTTTTTGTACCCCCTTCCCTACTATAAGAAAACAAGGCTTCGGCCAAAATCCGGGGCACAGAGACACCGGCCTAAAGAAAATTTGCCGCCCCATCGCGGCACCCGGGGCCGCGCCCGCAGCCCCGTTAAAGGAAAAGAAAAAGGGCATAACCGTATTTTAATGGAACTGTTCCCCCGAAAAACCAAGTCAAAATACAGTTTTCACAGTATGCAACCTCAGAAATACCATTCATTGTTTTTTTTTTCTTTTTTTTTTTTGGCGGGGACCGTCGGAAGGCGGCTTCGTGCCGTAGGCCCCCGGGCCGCCGAGGGAAACCATTGGAAAGCAACGCCCCCATCTAGAGATCCAACCGGTTCATAAGCAAGAAACGCCACACGTTACCAAGGTCTGCCGCGTCGTTCTGGGAGAAAATTTCAATTTGAGAACGCCCCCGCGGCGCGCACCAACCTTCCAACAGCAGCGGCATCTTTGTACACATTTTCCCCTTCTTTGACAGCTTCAAAGGGGAAGTGCAGACCCAAAAGATGACGTCAGCCATGCCCCCTCGTGGTGGAGATTGGATCTGGCTGCCGGAGAAACCAAGAGGGACAAAGCAAACCCATGCCCCTCAGCCTACGGATTTCTGGTTGTAGGCCCTTTTCGTTATTCGCGCATTAAGCGCGCTGCGGTAAAATAAATAAATAAAAACAATTAATATACAAACGTCCATTGGTAGCCGCGTCATTGGGGCAAACCCCATAAAGATATGGGGAATAGGAAAAACAAATTCCTCGGCCAGTTTTGTTCTGGAAGTACCATATTCCGGGTAATTCCCATAATACCCATAATCTAACGTAACTTGCGTTACATTTCGTTGCAAACTCTATTAGTCTCATTTGGTTCTTGAAGGAAAGCGGTACAACAGGCATAGCCCCTTATTGTGATTTTTTCAGCCGCTTAGTTACGCAGACATATGTGTAGAAATCGAAGAAATATGTTTCCAATGTTTTGTAGTTATGTGAAGAAATTGGTAGTCCGCATAAGAAAATTGTGTGCTGTGCATCTCCGCATGGGCGAAAAGCAGCCGATGATCAACGCAGCCCCTGTTGTCGATCCCCATTTCTGTACAGGCAGGCCCGAGCCTTAAAAACTGTTTGGTCGACTCCCGCCCTCCCCAATGCATTGGGGATAGTTCTATAGCGCCGCATGGGCAAAATAAACGCCAGTTAAGGTATCAAATGCGCGGATGCAATGTGCGTCAGAAGAAATAATAATGGAAAAGGATCTTCCCACGGTTTCTTGCAGCGCGCATTCTTCGGAATGGAATTGATTTCTTTCTTTCCACTTTGCCCGGATAACGAAACAATAACCCCCATGTGGTTTTAACGCCACCTTTCGGCTCAAAGAGCTGGCCCCAAAACAGATCATGACGTTACACAGAAATAAAACGATAATTCTCAACTGCTTCTTGTTCTTTTGCTGCCATCTTTTTGTATCCTGGGGTATTTTACCAAATACTCTTCCCCTCGCCCCCACCTTCCCCTGTGGAAGGCCCACGGGCATATTATAAATATGCGCATTTTTTTTCCCCCTTGCTTTCTCCACCCGCCATGGCGCAGGCATAAGCGGCTTTCAAGAAGACTCAGTTATCCAGAGATGGTTTAATGCCAAAACCGAGTTGCAAAACCCTTGGGAAATGAAATAGGGTCCAGATTCCTTTTGAAAATCAGGGCATTCAAAGGGTGAAACCCGAACCTTCCACAGAAGGGGTGTTCCCATTATTACGTTAGTAAGCCGCGGCTGCCAGAGAAAATATGGAAGGCGTCAGTGTCGTACAACACTTTCAGTTAAAAGATAAGCGGGCAATACAAGAGAAAAGTATTGATCTTTATTGGCTTTTCCCGCAAAGCCGTGTCAATAGACCTTGGCGCGCACTCGAAGAGGCAAAACACTGCCAGGTGCGGTTATTTGGAAAGGAAGCGGGTGCCAAACGTATTTTTAGCTTCGATTTTTATTCTATCGCCTCATTTAGAAAAGTTATTAGCAGCTCCCAAATTGGATGAACAAACGCGGCATTCCCCCACGGTGCCGCAGCAGGGCAGGAATTTTCCAACAGAAAAATAGATGTCTTTTTTTTTCTGTTTATCTTCTGAGGTTTGCCCAAAATATCGTTTTCGACGGTTACACTCCATGACGCAAATCTTCTCTCGTCGGGGGCACGTGTCTGTGTGGATGGGGGTCTCCTTGCTGCCTATAGACCCCCATGCCCTTGCAATGTCGATCGTGTTGGTTCTTGTTTTTTCTTGAATATCCTAGCCTTGCTCCCCTTTAAAGAAATAAAAAACACAAGATAAAAAATATTTTGTTTCCATGTTTGTTCATACAAGTTTTACAAATTATTTACATATCTCTATCAATTTTTTTCCAGATGATGTTTTCTAATACATAATAGAAACTGACGAAATAAAAGTGCTGAGAACCCCTTTTAAACCGCTTCCCGCTCTCACCATCGCAGCTTTTACCCTTTTGCAATGCCCAAGTTTTGCGATGGGTTTTCATCAAGATATGCCGTCAGCGGGTGTTTCCCGGAACGCAACGCAACCCCAAGTTGCTCGCATTCCTTGTGAGCGCAAATCCCTCCATCCATGGCGTTAAGTTCTGCCACCAACTCCTGTGAAGGCGCGTTTCCTTTTCGCATAATGTGCATTACCGTTGCGCTACGCATGCGAACGCCCAAGGGCCGGTCAAATGCGTTTTAAAAACCCACAATGCGAGATTAACGGCACGTGTCACCGTTTGGGGCATCCCTCGTAGGGAGTGCTCCCACACGCCGTCTGCGGAAAGAACTTCCCCCGCACGCTTCGAAAGCAACGCCACCTTTCCGTACACGGATGCGTCTGTTAGAAACGTTGCCGTGGATGGTTTGCCGCTGTGGCGGGTAAGCTGGCCGGTTCGTGGACGATGTTTTTGGCCCAATTGCGCCAAATGTCCGTCGCATTGAATGATAAAACTGCGCGGGCTTGTGGCCACCATAAACCCCAATTTAAACGTGAAAAACGCCATAGCACTATTTTTAAGAAGAAATAATAAAGGAAAAGAGATTCGCTCCGCGCCCCTCCTGCGCGTATCCTGCGCGAAACTTTACCCACCAAGCCTTAACCGTGATTGGTTCTAATGGCGGTGCCTTTTCCAACCGTTTTATTTATTTTTTTTTTTTTTTGGCTTAGAGAAACCGTGTTTTCCTTGCTGTTGAAGTGCGCCCCTATGAAATCATATTCCTTTGACTGAAACTTTTCGTCCACCCCCATTCCTTTTACGAATACCTAGACCTGCCGCGTGAATTCTCCTCCAATTACTAGATACCCTACTCCCTTGTGTAGATCCCTCTTGATTCTCTTGGGAAAGAGCCCTCCAATCCACTATTATGGCGTTTGGTTCCCAAGGATACGGTACAAAATTTTGTTTCTGCAGTTTTGTATCTCTTCAACGGTCGGCCATTACCCACCCCAGTCGTAATGCCACTCGATATCTTTCCTGTGCAAGACTGCTGCTAACCATATCCAACTCCCATCTCAAGATAGAGCGTCCTTGTTTTATGAAGTGTCTGCAACCGCTGTCTTTTTTAGGCCCACTAGAAACATTTGAGTTGGCTTTCTCCTTCATGCCGTCGTGGTGATCAGCGATCGTGTATATTGTAACGCGCTGTACGTTTTGAAATTGCAAACTTACGATAAATAAAGGAAAATCTCGTTCCTGAATCTCTAAATTATTCTACACTGTAAAATCGATGAATCTTCTCATTATTGAGCTTCTTTGTTCCCACGTTGTCTTAGTCCACATGGGTTTTGCGATCTGGTTGGCCTTTGAAGGCAGGGCCGCAATGTACGGATCATGGGTCTGCGCAGGTATTATAGTAAAATCGTTGACGGATGCTGTCAGGAGGGAAAGTTTCATTGATGGGAAAGCCTTTCGAATTTGTTTTGGTTATTCATTTTGCTTTTGCATTACTCTACTGATAATGGTCTGTGGTACATTCAAAAATTGCGATCGGAATAAAATCATGCTGTTGGACGGGCGTGTGCGGTCATGGAAATCAAACTTCCGTTGGCTTCTTATCTCTTCCGGACCCGGTGTTCACTGTTTCCGGGGGAGAATGTCGTTTTTTTTGGGACATGATGAAGACTTTATTGTGAGGCATGATCGCCGGACCTTACCTTCTGCTGTGGCAAAGGGCCCACCCATTTATGTTTAATGAAATGCCGGGTGGTAGTGTCGAATGTTTCTTCTGCCACTTCACGGCGGCCTGTATGAAAGGATCTTCCTGTTTGCTGAAGCTCAATGATAGCCTCCCGAATACCCTGCATCTTCGCGCTCCCGGGAAATCCTTGACTGTTTGAATTATCCACAGTTCTGTGTAAAGCTATCATCCCATTTAAACCTGTTGTGCCGGCATCCCTTTATTACGAATAGTGTGTTTCTATTGCAGAAAATAATTCCATGCGTTGGTCGTTATAATCTGAAGAAGGATTTGCTGGCATGGGAAAAACTTCCGGCATGCGGTCAATAATTGGCTGGTTGATTTCCCCATCAAATAATCCATCATTCCTTCAAAAGTACGAATTCTCTCTCCTGGCCGGACCCCTTCGTTTTATAATGGTAGCCAAAGTTGTTTTTTCCCCTAAAATCCTATTTTTGGCCCTTTATTGTGCGCCATTGATGCCTTTTCGCATTTCCATGGTCTTCGTCATAGATTAATGGTTTTGTTGGTGGTGTTTTGGTCTTTCCGGCATTTATCTTCTGCTCCAGCTGTATTGGGGTGTTTCTTCCAACCGTTCCTGAGCCACTCAGCGTTGCGAATGCGTTTCTCTCATTTCTGTATTTACCACCGTGGTTTGGTAAAACATTTAGGCTATTTGTCTTGCGGTTCTTGGACCTATACGTTTGCGTTCAGCTGTGCCTTAAAACTGTCGTCCACCAATTGCGTTCCTGTGCATTGCTTCTGGTGGTATAATGGTGATTATTTTTCTTCCAATATCGCCCATTCTAAACTGAAAAACGCTCGTGTCTCCTCAAAAGCGTGTGAAAATTCTTCATTCTACGGCATAGCCTAGCCCATCGTGAAAGGGGGCAATGCCTCTCAAGTCATGGATCTATTTGGATCCATTTTTTCCATAAGTATGTCTTTTTCGAGTGTAAACAAATAATACATGTGATAACTTAAATGCAGAGTTTCCTCTGGACGAAATTCAAATGAAAATGCCGTGGGGCCGTTATCGCCCACAAAATCTGCGAACGACTGCATGTTAGTCAACCGATCTGCTGTTGAGCAAGAGGGGTAGTTCGTACTTAACATTATTCCTTATTTATAATCTTACTTTTTCAGAAACTTACGTTTGACAGACTGTGGTGGGTGAAAAACGATAATCACATTCCAGCGGTTAAATTCCATTTACTGTTCCATTCCTATTAACGTAAGACTCGATTATTGTTTTCACAAACTCTCCAAAAATAATAAGAACAAAAGAAAACCCTTCAATCCCGCTATCAATTGAAGGGACCTCCTTTATACATTTGGGTCGCTCCAAAGCACCTCTATTGCATTCTTTTCTTATTGTGACTTCTTGCTGGGCGTGGCAGTTGGCATTTCGGCAAAAATCTTTCTGGAACTGCTTTTCTCGAGCGTGCGCTGATTGCCACTAACTTCTTCAATGGTGGAACGGCATTGGTCCACCGGCAATCCCGCTGCCTGGGCCCGTGCTTTGCGTAAGGCCCGAGTGGCCCACGCCCAAAGGAACGGCTCCAGCCATCGTGAAAAACAAAAATCCACCAGGGAAATACCTTTAATGACGAGATGGACGCGGACGAAGCCAAGAGCAAGGCAATTCAATAGTTGCAGCGGCGTTTTTTTCTTAGTTTCCAAATCGGCCAATTTGTAAGCGAATGGGTTGATTCGCCTGCTTTGGGATGCGGTTCAGATTAAGGCCCTGTCCCGTCCATTTTCTGTTCGCATACCGGTGGGTCTAACGTCAACCAAACTGTTGCACGAAGTTCCCATGTGCGGACCACTTTGCAACAGGAGTGCCTAGAATTATCATTAGCGGGTGCCCTTAATACACCGCCGTGTTTTCCGCAATGGGCGGTTAAGGCCCATTTGACGAGCGCAAAACACCCAGCGTACCCCACTTTGAGCGTAACCGCGTTCCTTGCGCTCCGGGAAGGTTGGTCGCGGTGATGTGTTTATTTTCTGGGAGAAGCGCTTTTTAAAAGAAAGTTATCGCCGCAGCCCCAGGCGGGCCCAAGCATCCTTCCCTTGCGATGCAGTTTCGCCTTTGCCAAAGTCTCTCTTGGAAAATTCGGAGCGCAGCAACGCCAGGCGTGGCGTAACCCGTCCGCCCGGTTTGTCTTGCAGTGGGCCGCCAGCGTTCCTCAATCAGATTTAAGGCGCGAAACAAGATTAAGAACACGCAGCCGCGGCACACACCGCAGAGGGAACGTCGTTTCTCTTTATTGTATCGCCGGTTCCTCTTCTCCAAGGGGTTTCTTTTTTTGGCATAGGCCTTCCTCGTGTTGTGTTTGTCTCTCTTTTGGTGGTGTGTCAGCCCGTCTTGCCCCCATTATGTATTTGTGAGAGTGGCGGGGGTTCTGGCGAGATGTCCGGCGGAGGTGGCCCAAGGGGGAATTTGATCTTCCAGAGCGCATCGGCTCTCTTGAACCCATGTGTTTGTTGACCATATGTACTACTGCGGTGTTCCTGCATGAGTATTGTGTCCCACATTCAGTGCAGTTGGTAGGGTCTGATGCTTTGCTTTGGGTGTAGCGCGGTCGTTTTTGGCCAGTTGGAATAACTGGTTCTGGCATGTTTACATGTTTTGGATTACGCCAGCGACAACCAGGGGGAATATGGGTTTGTATTTTTCGCAGAAACCAGCCATAGCGATGCGAAGCACCTGTGCGAAAACGTGCTAAGGCTGTTTCTTCTTCTATAGTAAGTTCCGGATTATCTTTGGTGGGGTCCCAGGATCCAGTGATTTTTAATCTATGGGAGGGAGGGGGCATGCCCACTCCTTTATGCATTTGTTAGGTGTAGGCTATTGTATCTGTGATCCAAGTATCAGTTCTTTGTGGGAGTTCTGCAGCTTTTTTGGCTTCTGTGTCGCATTTTTCGTTTTTCACTGCACCGAAGTCACCAAATATAAATTGTAGCCGTATGCAGGCTTTGCGACGTTGCACTTGAAGTATTAGGTTCCACAGGAGTCGTAGTATTGGGTCTTTTACGGTCAGTGGACCTGTTTCCAGCGCTGTGAGATGAGACAGTGAGTCCGTGAAAATGGAGACCCTGCAGGGCGTTGGATTATTTGTAGGAATTATTTTGAGGAGTCTCCGTAAACCTTCGTATAGCGCTACGGATTCGGCTGTGTAGCTGCAAGCTAGGGGGCCAGCGCCTCTACGTGTGGTGCAGAGCAGTTCACCATCTTTGTATATCATTGCTGCTGCTCCAGATTTTACTCCGAGAAATACGGAGTCATCAGTCCAAATTTCATAATGGGTACGCGGCGGCGGATCTGTGCCTTTGCGGCGGAAGTGATGGGCTATCCAACGCTCGGATGCTTCTCTTTTCTGTTCTTCAGGGTCATCAGCTGAGACATTTTCCAGCGATGTGAAGAAGCGAGCGAGTTTACCAAACCGTAGAGTTGGTGTCAGTAAAGGGGGCTCGCGTGGCTCTATAACGAGTGTTGGATAGATTTTCATGATGCGTACATAGAATTCTCGTACTGGATGGGTTTCGTGATAGACTTGTTCTGCGCTTTCTTTGAGGGATCCACCTCGTGTTTGGCATCGCATTAAATATTTGAGGCTCCGAATCATGGCCGTCATCTCTAATGGGAGAAGGCGGGCTTCACGTAATGCGTCGGCGGAGCGACACCCATATGGGATACCTGCTATAGTTCGACAAGCATTTATTTTAACCTGCATATGAGAGTTTGCGTGAAGTGGGAGCCGTATCCCAATACCAGACCTCAAAACCGTAGAGTGTCTGGGCTTGAACTGGTGTCAGGTAGAAGGCTCGGAGGACGTCACGCTTCGGTCCCCATGTGGTTGAGGGTATTGCTGCGAGTTGTAGTAAACGAAAATTCGTGCGTTGTCTCGTTTGAACCACATGGGTGGACATGCCTCGGTAGTTTTGGAATGTGATGCCTAAGAGTTTAGGTGCCTTCTCCGGACCTAGGGGGATACCGCGCAGTTCAAGAGAGAGGGGATGGGGGTTGGTGGTACCAAAAAGTGTGTATTTCGTCTTGTCCACGTTGATGTCCATAAAATAGTTTCTGGACCATTCGTCCACCACGTTTAGTCCTTGTTGCAGTGTACTGTTGATGATGTCTCCGTTGACGTGTCGTACTGCTAGTGTGAGATCATCGGCGAAAAACCATGAAACAATAAGGGAACTTGGGATAATCGTTTGCTTAGTGCGTTCATTACTGTAATAAACATAAGTGGGCCGAGAACTGTTCCTTGTGGCACGCCACGGTGGAAAAGCATTAGAGGAGAGGATTTACTGTTTACTCGTACTCTGGCTTGGCGTCCTTTCAGGAAAGATGCAGACCATCGAATGATGTGCGGTGGGATATCCATCTCTCGCATCGCACTAACTATACGATCATGGTCTACTGTATCGAAGGCTTTGGCGTAGTCGACGAATACTGCACCTGTACGCGAATCAGGGGTGGGTCTTGTGAGGGCTGCGCGTAGATGCAATAGTTGATCTAATGTAGCGTGGCCAGGTCTAAATCCAGATTCTTGCGGGGCCATTTTGGTTTCAATGACATCTCTAATTCGGGCTGCGATGATCCACTCCGTTAATTTGGACAGACAACTAGTGAGAGTAACTGGTCTGAACAAATCTAGATCTGTGGCTTTCTTCCCTGGTTTAAGAAGTGGTACAATAATGCCTACTTCCCAAGAGACTGGGACTACGCCTGCGCGGAGGCTCTCGTTGAAGAGAGCAAGAGTCTCTGCTTTGGCACGAGGTCCCAAGTGTTGGAGTGCCTCGCCGTAGATACCATCGGGACCTGCGGCCGTCCCTTTAGGAAGGAGACGCTGTGCTCGTTCCTATTCTGCTGCAGTAATGGGGGTGAATTCTGTATCTGTTACTGGAATGGGCGGTGGAGGGTAGGAATGTGGGTGCCGTTTAGCTCTTCGTGAATATAAACGGATAAAGTGCTTAGCTTTCTGGTTTTCCGTGAGTACCGTGTTGTTAAGCTTAATCGCCGGGGTACTGAGGGGGCGCGGGGCGTAAATCCTCTTCAAAATGTTCCAACAGCAGCCGTCTGCCACGGCCATGTTATTACAGAGGGTTTTCCATCTCTTATGGGATGCTTGTTTTAGCATTTCTCTTCTGCGAGCTACCAGCCTTTCTCTGGAGACAGAAGGTTTACAATTGTGAATCTTCTCTTCGATTTCGTCTAACTCGGGAGTCCAAAATGGAGTAGTATCCCGACCCCCGCGTGGAACCGCCGCAGCTGTTGCGATACGGATGGCGGAGGTCAGTAGTCGTTCCCTCTTGTGAACGCTAATTTTTTGATCAGGTTGTTTGTTGCACTGTGCGTTTGGCATTTGTCTAAAGCGAGACCATTTCGCTTTCTTCCATGCATAAATGGGTGCACGAGGGCGAGGGGGCCGCAGTGGTTCGTCATCATCTCCTACTACTACGTCGAAGAGGATGATGTAATGGTCGCCGTCCGGGGAGAAGGATGCCGTCCAGGACTCTAGGAGGCATTCTCGGGATATTGTCACATCTGGCGCGGACAGGCCATGGCGTGTGGTGTGGCGAGTGCACTCTCCAGTGTTATGAATAACGAAATCATTATCTAGGCACCATTGTACTAGCACATCGCCACGGGTATCAGGGGGATAGCGCGATACCATGCCATTGCATGCGCATTAGCATCTGCAGCAATTAGGTGAGGTCCGCTTCTCGTCAAAAGCGTGTCTAGTTGCAACGTTGTGTATGATCTCCCCGGAGGGAAGAATATGCTGAAGACACTGTGAGCGCCATACCTTCTGACATGTGGATCGTTGCATGAGCATGCTCAATGCTTGCAACTACGGTGAGTCCTACTTCTACTGGCAGATCTTCACGCAGAACAATCGAAACGCCGCCTCCTTTAGAGGGGTGGGACACTCCATGATGTTGGTAACCAGCGATTGTGAAACTCGACACTTCCGCACAAGATAATTTCGTCTCGCTTAGAAGGCAGAATGTCACATTCTCCTCAACAAGGGTTTTGTGGAGAGCAAGCCTCTTGGCCTGGGTAAGCCCAGCTGAGTTCCACTGCATACCTCGCAGTGAAGGGCCGGGATTTTCCTCTACATCACCACTCAGCAGTAACCTGGTGCGGGTGATGCTGCTGATAGCGCGTCGACACGTGCCCCAGGACCTTCTTGGATATATTTCTGCCCCAGTAAGACGCAGCTGGCCCCGGTGCTTTATAACACCGTAGCCTAAGGGCCAACGGGTCTTCCGAAAGGAAAGAAAAACGTAGCTGGCTTTTGGATACCCTTGATAATCCGAGGTACCGGACCTTGGGGCCACGATAAGGTAGCCCTCATTTCCATGGGCTTTTTCTTCTAAAATTAGGTGCGTCTACATGTGTTTTGCGATTTGGTTGGCCTACGATGTCGGCGGCGAGGTGCAAATAAGTTGAAGATAACTCCACATTCTCGGGAATAACGCAAACCTAGGGCACAAAGCCGGCCCATCCTACCATATTAATTGGGCCATGGCGTCGCTGACACTGAAAAGAACGACCTGATATGAATCTAAAAACTGCCCTTATTTGGTAGGAAACTTGTATTCTATAACCCTCTTGAATCTGCTAGAGCCATTCCCGGAATGCATTCCCGAAATCTATTGTTCCCTCATGGTTCCTAAACTTCGCGGAGTCCCACTCTCTGACGGCCTTCATGCTGAACGCAAAACGGGCCACCCCCAACATGAAGGCAACTCGCGAATTTCGCGAGGATTTCTCCTCTTCTTTTATCTTTGGGCGGTGGTGTTGCAAGGCGCATTTTTTTGTAGAGCTAGCGGTTGTTGTTGGTAGTTCTTCTTGCTTCTGTTTTGGCGCTTTGTGGGTCGGTTTGGGCGGCTTTCCGGCGCTTGTTTATGTTTAAACTTTTGGGGTTTCCGGTTAAGCAGCCTTTGCGCGTGCGGAAGGTTGCATTGTAACTCTTGCAACCGCATCTTTCTCTTTGCTCAACCCCAAAGAAGTTTCAACATCCATTTGTGCCTCGGTGCGCTTCCGCTATGGACGCGGTGCCTATTCCATTTCCCTTGTAGCGCCGCCCGTTGGGTAATCGTGGGCCGGCTCCGCGCCCTCAAAAACCATGGGGGTTGTGGGGCGGCTTTTGCCACCGGTCTGTAAAAATAAAACCTTCTGCAGCCGCGTGTAAAAATGAAAATATCTGTTTGATTCTCTCCAGCCAGGTTGTGGTTTCCTCGCCGTGAGGCATTAAAATACCACTTGTGCGCTGGTTCTGGTGCGGGTTCTTCGCAGGGCGAAAATCAAAGACCAATGCTGACAGACTGTTGTGCTGGAGAAAGACTGGGAATTCCTAAATATTGGTCACACATTTTATTTCTAATAATGATGGACCTCTAGGTTCCTAGAATTATTATTTCCATAAACTTGTTTTTAATACTTGCTTTCAAAATCTTCACTTTACCAGAATTATTTCAACAGTGAATGTGGCAAGGCTTATTGTTAATACTTTCCTTCAGCGGTAGGAAAGATCATGTCATTCTTTTCTTAACATTCCCATGCCCAGGGGCCTTCGTCGGTTAACCGGTCCGAAGGGGCACTGAAGTCCAGAGCTTGTAAATTGCGTTTTCGACCCTTCGATTAGAAGTGCTGGCTGCTATTTTCCCAAATGCCGGAAACCAGAACGGGCCGCACCACGGTTTGTTCCCCACCGCTTGGGTGACCGCCTGCCGTTTTCTCGCGCGCTCGTTTTTCCCTGTGGATAAAGTGCTTTGCTTCGGGCCTCCCGCAAAACAACGCGTTTCCAGGTTGACAGGGGCGGTTTTTAGCGGGCCATCCCTGTCGTTTCGGGGTGTTTTTTTTTTTTTTTTTTTTACCCAAACCTTCGGCTGGGGCCCGGGAGGGAAAGGCCGGGGAGTCCCGAAAAAAGAAAAAAAAAAAAAAAAAGAGGGGCCCCTTTCTCTTTTTTTCTTGGCTCTTCATTTTGCGCGTGGGGGTGGGGGCGGGCGTTCCTCGGGAAATGGTTTTTCGGTTCTTTATTCTTGTTTTCCTGCCCCGCTTCCTCGTTGGGCGGTGGCGCGGAAGCCGCTTTCTTTTGATGTTCTTCCGTGTGCGCCATTCGTGGTGGGGTCAGGGGTGGTGAGGTGTATTTCGTCGATTCGGCGGATTGGATGTTTGACTTTGTGATTTTTTCTTTTTTTTCATTTTGCGTGCCTGTTTGGTTCATGTGATACAAACCGTTGGTAGTTTTTTTTTTTTTCAGGCAGTGTGTAATTGTTTCATTTTGATTTGGATCACAATATCTGTGGCTTAAAGAACACAAAACTGCTTTGACTAGCTCGTGTTTTCTTCTGCCAAAAAAAAATAATAATAAAGTGAGAAGAAAAAAATTTGTGGAATTGAACTTATCTTATGAAATGAAAGAAATATTGTTTCTTAGAAGGTCTCTGCGTATATATATCTGATATTGACCTCATCCCTCCCCCTAAAAAAAAAAAAAAAAAAAAAAAAAAAAAATGAACATAATGCACCGGTATATGGGATTGAGATACGTATACATATATGGAATGATGCTTCTCTCTGGCATATCTTTTTCCTCCACTTTTATAAATATTTTGAAAGTCGGACATGGGACCCAACCTGGTGGGGGATGCTAAGTGGGTAACTCTAAAGGAATTTGTATTGTTGACGTTAAGAAAGAGTGTGTACCGACGTCTATCAAAGACCCGAAGTATAAAAAATAAAATAAAAAAAGAAAAGAAAAACAAAAGAAAGAGAAAGCAGAATATACCGGGATAAAAAAAAAAAAATAACAAAAGACTATATTAACGAAACTTGTTTCTGATTAAGGGACTCATTTTTTTTTATTTTGGTTTCTTTTTTTTTTTTTTTATGCATTCTCTGAGTTTATGCGTCAATATGCGTTTTTTCTTTTGTGTGGTTGAGGGTGATCATTATTGCTCAGTCTTTGTTGTTCTCTATGCGGATTGAAGTTCACTCTGATGACACACGCGAAAAAGTATCTTTTTTTTTTTTTTACCGTTATGATGTTGATTGAGAAGGTATTATCAATAAAAGTATATCTTCATTTTGCGCCCATGTCTTCAGAGAGTGGAAACCCTTCGGAACCGATTCGAGTCCGAGTTGGTGCCAGGGGCCGCAATTTTGCTTACGTTGACTTCACCAAACATCGCCTTCATGAAGGGGGACCTGAGATAATAATATCAGGCCTGGGCCGTGCCATTTCCGACGCTGTTGCTGTTGCGGAAATATTAAAAAATCAAGGACTTGTTGTTGTCAAAGCTATTACTACTTCACGTGGAAGTATTAAGCCTCTTGCGCCATTGATTGACAAAATTGAAATCGTTGTCGTAAAATCAAAGGACTTCGATTCTATTTATGAAGAGCAACAAAAACGAAAGTCTGAAAATGCCGAAAAGAGAGAGAGTAATTAAAAAAAGTCATTCATTCAGTGAGAACAGTTAAGTGAAGTTGAGAAACATATACACTTGTGGAAGTACAAAAATAGTTTCCCCCTCTAAAAAAAAGTAAAAAAAAAAAAAACGAAAAAAAAAAAAAAGAAGGGTCTGTTTTAAGGGAAAAGTTTGCGTTGGAATCGAAACGATTTCTTTTTTTTTTTTCTTCTAAAAATGTATTTGTGCGATGTTGTATTATTTTCCTTTCAGATGAACGATTCATCTCTAAATTTTTTAAAATAATTAATCCCCTTTTTTTCTTTTTTTTTTTTCTTTCCTGTAGCTAAGCAAGTTTATAACAAGAAAGGACTCAACTCCACGTAATTTTCAAATGTCTACTGAAAATACTGAGCGCCCCAAGAACGCCGTTCGTGTGGGTTTTCACGGCTCTAAATTTCTCTACGTTGACATTACCAAGCACTTATTGCATGACGGTCAAGAGGAAGTAAGCATTTCAGCTCTTGGAAAGGCTATTAACGAAGCCGTATCTGTCGTTGAAATGCTCAAGGATCAACAGATGATTACAGTAAAGCGAATCAACACTTCTCGTGGAGGGGGCGAGGGTACAAGGAACAGTACCGTCGACAAGATCGAAATCGTTGTCGTCAAGGCACCTGGATTCGATGAGAAGTACAAGGAACAACAAAAAATGCGTGAAGCTAAAAAGCTTGAGAAGGAAGACGCTGAAAAGGAGAAGGCTGCCAACTGAGGTCTTTACTGGAGAATAGGTTTTTTTTTATTTATTTTACTCTGTTAGTCATCCATTTTTTGTTGAGAAGAAAAGAGAGTGAGAATTAAAGGGAAAGAGAACTATAGGATTTATTACTGAAATGAGAAAGCGTATTTTATGGATGACGGATTGGTAATAAACTAATATGAATGAACTCTTTCGATTGTTTTTTTTTTGTTTGTTCTCAGTTTCTTTTTTTTTTCCTTTGATTTGTTATATATATATATATATTTTTTTTTAAAAATTTTTGTTTTCTGCTTTTGTTTGATTTTATTTTTACTGTGTGTGGAGTTTGGTGGCAAAAATCAAATTACTTAGGCTATTACAATGGAAAACTATGCAATAGTTGAACTTATAGGGGAGGGTTCCTTTGGTAAGGTTTATAAAGCAAGAAGAAAGGGAACAGGTCATATTGTAGCCATGAAGTTTATCGTGAAGAAAGGAAAAAATGATAAAGAACTGCTGAATCTTCGCAGTGAAATAGAAATTATGACTAAGCTTAATCACGATAATATTATAACTTTGTTTGAAGCTTTTGAGACACAACAAGAATTTGTTGTAGTTATGGAATATGCTCAAGGGGAACTTTTCGAAATACTTGAGGATGACAAAAAACTTCCTGAAGATGTCGTTCAAAGAATAGCTAAACAATTGGTACAGGCTCTTCATTATTTACATTCAAATAGAATTATGCATCGAGACATGAAACCACAAAACATTTTAATAGGTCAAAATGGATCTGTAAAACTAGCTGACTTTGGTTTTGCCAGATCAATGAGTTATAATACTATGGTATTAACTAGTATTAAAGGAACACCACTTTATATGGCACCAGAACTTGTACAGGAGCAACCTTATAATCATTCAGCGGATTTATGGTCCCTTGGATGTATTCTTTATGAATTATTTTATGGTAAACCACCATTTTATACAAATCATCTCTACAAATTGATTAACCAAATTGTGAACGATCCTGTTAAATTTGAAGAACCTATATCTCCTGATTTTAAGTCTCTTTTAAGAGGACTTTTGACAAAATCTTTCTCTGCGAGGTTAAATTGGCCTCATTTACTTAACCACCCATTTGTTGCCATATCTGAAGAAGACGGAAAATGGCAGATGCCAATAAAACAACATGATTTGGAAATGAAGGAACGTATGGATAGATTAGAATGTTTTCGGCTTCATGCTCAACCAAATAGAGTTTATAAAAGTAATACCGGACGTGAATCTCGTGTTGCCGAAATTCTACGAAATTGTTCCCTTAATTCCAGAGAAGATTCATTATTTTCTCAATCTACAGTTGAATTAATTTCTTCTTCAACTAAATCTGAAGAATTAGTTGAAAAATTAAAGTCTTTGGTGGCCGCAGGAGATTCTTTAACATCATCTCCTGTAGAAAATAGTGCTTTATTAGAAAGAATTCCACGTTTAGGAATACTGAGAGTTGTTTTGAGACGTTTGAACAACAAAGAATCAGTGGATATTATTCGATATTCTTTGCAATTTATTTGTAAACTTGTATTTCCTGAAAGAGGAACTATTTTACCATTTCCTTCACAATATTCTCGACAAGAGGTGATAAATTCTTTGCAACAACGAAGTGAATTACCACCAGTTGATCTTCTTATACGACAACAAGTTGCATTGGATTTAATTGAAAAACCGCATGACGTACTTGAATTTTTGATGCGAGAGGTTATAGAAAATCGTTATAATCTTCGTGAAGACTGTGTAAAGATAATTTTTCAATGCGTTAAATGGGGAACTGGTTTCGGACCTGTTTTAACTCAATTAAAGATTTTTCCGGTTTTTTGGACAGCTTTGCTTGATTCTGTAACAGAGTCAACAGTTGAAGAAAAAAGTCCTTTTCGACCATACGCTGCTGTTGCATTTCATGCAGTCTCAACACTTGTTCCACACATAAAATTATCTTCACCAGATCAAATAAACGCTCATAAAGTTTCTTCATTTGTTTCAATTGGTTTATTGGTACTATGCTACTATGACTCTTCTGCTGCCGGAGATATTGCTGCTCTTAATTGTGCTGCAGCTGCAGCTATTTTGGTAGCTTTTGTACATCGTGAAATGAAAGATACTATTATTTTTGAGCCAGATTCCGTACTTTTAGATGGACTTTGCGCAATTGTAGAAGGTGTACTAGGAGTATCTGACCGATTAGTGGTTCCACGTGCTCTTGGAACAAGTTATGGATACGCTGATCATGGTTTATTAGATGGTGTTGTACATATGCTTTCTGTCATGTTTTCTGATACAAAGTCTGTATTATATCATCAGAGTTCTAATTCTACAAGTCGAAAATTTCTTGATATTGATAAAAAAGGATTACTTCGCACTGTAATTAAATTACTTCGTGATAGTGATAGCAAAAGTGAATTATCACCAAATGGTGTTTTGGCAGCACTTCGTTGTGTTCAACAAGCTGCGCAACATCAGAGAGAAATGACACATTCAATAAGTTTCTTCTTGGATTCTATTGAACCTTATTCTGGAGATGGTGGTAACCCAATTTCTGTAGTTGCTGTTATTTGTCGTCAATTGCGAAGCAATTATATTAAACAACTTCGTTTCTGGCCAGAATGTAGAGGTGGAGGAACTATTGGTGTAAATGCTCATCTAACAATTGTTGTTCAAATTTTGTTAACAACATTTTATCCAATAACACAAGGTTCTGAATCTGATGATGAGGTCATTGGTGCTATACAACAAATACTTTACAAAGAAGGTCTTATGGAATTGCTTATCACTGCTCTTGAATACACAGAAGTGGCTTTTTGGGGTCCACCTTTTGCACTTATTACTAAACTGGCTATGGGAACTCCTGTATTTGCCAAAGCTTTTGTAGATGGAGGTGGTTTACATCCTGAACGGATAAAGAAAATTTTGGACTCAAAGAAAGCGAGTACTGGTCTTGTTTCTGATGGACTTAATGTACTTTCTCAACTTGCTCGTCTATCAAAGGATTTCTATCCCCCTATTCACAGCGCAAACCTTTATGACAGTTTTTTGGATCTTCTTCGGCATAAAGATGCTGGTATTCGGAGTAAAATGTGTAATCTTATTGGAAATTTGTGTAAACATTCACCTTACTTTTATGAACCTTTGGCGAAGCATAAAATTATTGATGTTCTTGTTGAGAGGTGTAGTGATACGGATCCTACAACACAAAAATTTGCAGCTTTTGCTGCTGGAAATGCTGCGTTTCACAATGAGATGCTTTATGAAATGCTTCGACCATCTATTCCAGTTATAGTAAAACTCTTATATAGTAGTGATGAGAAAACGAGACAAAACGCTGCTGGTGCAGTTAGTAATTTTGTGCGAAATGGAAGTTCTCTCACTTCCGCTTTGTTGGAAAACAATGGTGTTGAGGCTCTTTTGCGAATACTTAAGAAAGACAAGATAGGACTTAAAAAAATAGCCCTTATTACTATAGGTTCTTTCTGTGCATATGAAGATTGTAAAGGGAAATTTTTGGCATTAGGTTTAGAAGATGTCATAACACAACTGGAGCAAAGTGGCGCTTTTGAGGCTGAACCATCAATAGCGAAGTATGTTACAAGAATAAAGCAGAGAATCAGTTCCTCATAACAAGTATTATTGTTGCTGTGTAGATTCAAGAAAGAAAATAAAGTGACTAGAAATTGGAAATGAAATGAAGATGAATCTTCATGACTCCCTGAGAGTGATGTAACGCTCAATAATTTTCCCCACCCTTTCACAAAAAAAAAAAAAAAAAAAAAACAAAGAAAGGAAAAGAAAGTGAGTTTTTACTTCTGTTTTTTTTCTTCTTCATATTATTCTTTTTTTTTTAAGTGTATTAGTAGTAGAGGAGAAAGAGAACCGACATTAGGTGGAGTGAGGAAAAACAAGAAAAAATAGAAAAGGCGACTTCACTAAGAAGAAAAAGTAAAACAAAAGAAAAAAAAATAAAGCAGAAACATACATACACAAATACACATACACCTGTTAACATGTCCGTTCAACCACAAAATGCCGATTTTGAAGAGATGTTCGCGAGGACAAAGGCGTATCTTATGAGTGCCAACAAAGATGGTGTCAGCGTGTATGATCAACTCACAAGATTGATGGAGCAGGTGTTGGACGAAAACCCAAATAACATCGCTAATGATCCATCAAAGTTCAATGACATGTTTACACTTTTGCAGCAGCACAGCTTTGTAAATGGTCAGAGTACCTCAGCATGCGATGAACCTTGCCCTGTTCCACCTTCAGAACTAAAACGTCTTGCAGAAAATGATCGTCTTTTTGAACGTCCACCACCTGAAACTGTGACTACAATAGAGCAGCCAGATCCATATACCACTGTTACAACAACGCGGGTGAAGCCTCGTACTGCTCCCCCATATGATTCTGTCGCTCAGAACAACCTTTACTGGGCTTGGGCAGGATGTGGAATGAGTGAAGAAGAAGCTTTTTTATTGGACAGATCCATCACAGTGCTGGCTATGGAAAAAAAATTGGAAGAAGTCCGATTTGTTGGAAAGATTTTTGGCACAAAAAGCAACTACTATGCAGTTTCAAGCCGTCGCTATGTAAAGGAAGGTGAAAAAGTGTACAAAGAGGTGAATACTATGCCTCGTCCGGCACGACGAAAGTTGGAAGTCCCAGTGCAACCTGAACCAGGTTTTGTGGGAACAAATCGCCTTTCTTTTTGGGTTACATCACACCCTGCTGCAGAGTGGATTCTTTTACCTGATGTGACCCCACAACAAATTTGTGCAGGGAGACGAATCAAACGACTCTTTAGCGGTGACTTAAATGCAGCTATTGTATCTAGTCCTCCATTTGAGTGGAATGAAGCTGTTTATCTGCGTGTACAGTTGAGTCGTATTGTAAGCGGTACGTATATCTCTCCGCTTGGTGCCCTTGAGGAACCAGAGGAGGATGCTGAGGAGTATGATGAGGAAGATATTGAAGAAGAGGATGCTCCCAAGAAACCCAAAGAAGCCAAGTACCATCCTCTCACGCAGCCGGTAAAGGGATTTGCCACTGAAGAGGAGGTTGATGTTACTCAGTGGGCAAAGCTTGACCAATGGGTTCACTCAGAAGGCTATATTTACGAAAATGGACGGCAAACAAAGGTACCAGAAAAACCAGAGGAGGATGAGGAAGAAGAAGAAGAGCAACAACAGCAGCAGCAACAACAAGATGATGAAGAAGAAGAAGAACAAGAGGAGGAAGTGGAAGAGGAAGAAGAAAAGGAACTCTTCACTCCTATTCAATCAGATTACCTTTATGCAGTTATTAATATTCCAGAGGCACCAAAACTTGACGAGGAAGATGAAGAGGATGAAGAGGAAGATGCACAAGAGGAAGTTGCTGAGGTGCCAGAGAACGACGATGACATGCCACCAAAGCCTGTTACCGATGATGATGTATCCGATGAGGACCCCACTAAGATGAAGGTGTCAGCGTGGACGGTGCGTGTAGTTAATAATAACAGCGTAAAACATCGTGTGGTGGTGGTACGATCATTGCGATGGCCAGGTTCTGTCGCCTTTGTCGCAGAAAGTGGAAAGAAGTGGGGTTGTGTTTACTTTGGAAATGGACTTAAGAAGACGGACTTCAGCTTTACGCCTACACTGGCTCCCCCGGTGCTCTCAGAGTGTGCCGACATCACAGAAGTTCAGGATCCGACACCTGCTACAGAAAAACTCGTTCGCCGTGGTGAGGATCCACCAGAGCCAGACTCTGAAGATGAAGTAGAAGACGAGGAAGGTGAGGAGGTGGAGGACATGTAAAGGAACTGCAGCGAAGCAACACGGTAGATGTAGTGTGATGTGTTGTGTGATGTGAGGTCTGTATGCACGATGGAACTTATCGTCTGTGTGTCTGTGTGGTAGGTTGCCAGTTTAAAGATAGTGTCAAGGACGCTAATTCTAGTAATCGTTGCAGAAAGAAAAAGAAACTTAGAGTGACCCTCACTGTTCTCCTCCACATTCCTCTACGATGTCTATGTATCTACCAAGGTTTTTTACACGCTGCCTAGTTTTTTTTTTTTGGTATTTGGTGTTTTTTTTTGTTATTGTTACCATACCTTTTATGTACCTTTATTACGCATATATAAGAGAACGTTCTCTTTTTTTTTGATTATAGTGCAACGTTGTTTACATATCTTTTTGCTCTATGCGGATGATATATATATATATATTGATTCTGTACTTCATATTCTCTGTTTTCTCTCTTTTTCTCTCTTTCATTATAATTACGATTATTATCCCTACTACTATAATTACTATTGTAATTATTCATTTACTTGACTTTTGATGATCATACATTCAATAGCACCTCTATTGTTGGCGGTTTAACCTGCGATAACCAAGCAAAAGACAGAGGTGAATACATAAAAACGGAAGAAGAAGAAGGAAATCGAAAATAAACAAACAAAACAAAACAAAAGAAAAGAAAAAACGTTTTAGGAGAGAATGAGACGGTGGATACGTCCATTGGTTTCACAATGGCGCGGTAGCGGTCTTTCTCTCTTGGTAACGCATCGTCTCGGAACCAGTGTTGCTGGAACGTTTTACTCCGAGTCAGATGTTGCTGGTGGGGCATCTATGAATAATGATATGCGACTGGGGCTCGTAATTAAGCCACACAGCACACTTATCGAATTATGGGAACAAGCTGTCAAGGGATGGCCAACTCGTCGTTTTCTAGGAGCGAAGATGTGGGTACGTGGTCAGTTAGGATATGTATGGGCTACGTATGAATCTATAGATACTGAGATTGCTGCAATGCGTACACTTTTGCATAAGATGGGTGTTGAAAAAGGTTCTCGCGTAGTTGTTATTAGTGAGAATCGCTATGAATGGGTTGTAGCACATTTTGCAACACTACAACTTGGGGCTCACTTTGTGGTGTTGCCTACCAATGTTACCCCAATGGAAGCACAATTAGTACTAAAAAGCACACAAGCCTCCGTGCTTTTTGTTGAATCCTTGTCCTCATACGCTGTTGTAAAAGGTTGGATTGGAGAGATAGGGCGTTTGCAGCATGTAATTTGCTTTGAAGATCAACTCGGAGAGAGTAGCTATGCGGTAGCCATAAATATAGCATCTGAAGTTCCAGAGAAAATACCTGTACGAAAAGACATTACTGCTGAAGATACTGCCATGATAATGTTTACAGCAGGTACGACTGGGCCTCCAAAGGGTGTAATGCTTTCACACCGAAATTTAGTCGCAAATATCAGTTCTATATATGCTCACGTTGGTGAAGCACTGACACACACTGATTTGTTTATGTCATTGTGTTCATGGTGTGTTGCAGGGGCACTTACTGTAGAACTATATCAGGCAATATGCAAAGGTGCTTGTATTTGCATTCCACCTGAACAACTGGAAGGTTTTCAAGATCTTCCAATGGTTCGACCTAGTGTTGTGGTTACTGTTGCGCAACCTTTTCAGAGGGCCTATGCAAACATTGTTGACAACATTATGAATCGTGGTAGCACAACAAAAGATTTAACACGGTTTACACTTGGTCGTATCACAGAAAATCGTTTGATGCTTCAGAAACCAGGATATTTATTACGTGCTGCATCGCATGTGCTTCTTGGAAATTTCAAGGAACAGTTTGGTAGTGAGCTCCGTATAGCCATTGTGGTTGGAAGTCAATTAACAAGGGATCAGATGGAATTATTGGCAGATTTAGATGTATTCACAGTAAGTACTTATGGATGTCTTGAGGCAGGTGGTCTTATCGCTACAGACATTGATGTACCGCTACGTCTTAAAGCACTTCCAGGTGTTGAAATACGTGTTGTAAATGATAAGAATGAGATTGTTGCACCTGGAGACATTGGTGAAGTGCTAATAGAGGCTCCACATGCAATGCAAGGTTACTTTGATGTAAACATTGATCCTGAAGAGGCAAAGAACTCTCTTGTAACATATGGAAGCAGATCATTTGTACGTACAGGTGATTACGGCTCTGTTACAGGAGGATGGATAACACTAAAGGGTAATAAGCACGTCCTTATTACACTCACTACAGGTGCTGTGGTAGATCCACTGGAGATAGAGGGAACTCTTATCAAGAGCCCTTTTATTAAGCAGATTTTTGTGTACGGTGACAACCGACCTTTCCTTACAGCGCTTGTGGTGCCAAACGCCAAAGCTATCGCATCACATCTGCGAAAGTTGGAACGGCGTGATGGAGTACCCATTGTTAGTGAACGTGAAAAGGCGGATTGTATTCGAGCCGAACTCCGACGAGTTTCTCAAGGTCTCCCTTCTCGAGCACATGTCCGACGGTTTGCATTTATAGAAGAATGCACCCTTGCCAATGGTTTTATTACCTGTAAATACAGCTTTGCCAGACAGAAGATTGAAAGTCATTACGTACACTATCTTAATGCTTTGTACGATGATACACCAAAATTCTTTGGACATGCTGTAGATGACTACGACGATCTTTTTTAACGGGATTTGGATGCGTAAAGGGGGTCTGCAATAATGTTGAATGTGTAAGTGTATTTATTTTTTACTTTATTTTTTTCTATTTCTTTTTGTTTGTATGTGTGTGTGTGTGTGTGAATCAAAATATGATATTATTTATTTTTTTTCTTTCTTTTGGTGTTGCTTCTCCCTGAGAGAGAAGCTTCCACAATACATTTATTTATTTATTTATTTATTTATTTTTTCATATTTTCTTATTTCTCTATTTTTTACACGTCAGTTTCGTACCCCAAAGTGAGGGGAGGAAAGTGTTGGGTGACCGCTACAGTTTATTGGTTTGCGGACTCAAAACGTCATGAGTTTTGAGGCTGGAAATGTTCTCTGTCAGTTGGCGGAAAAAGCTGACCAGATTGACAGGATTGAAGAAATTATCCTTATTCTTCAGCAAGAGTTTGTGAAACTGTTTAAGATGAATAATCAGTTATCAGACTCGTCTCAGCCTACAACTGCTAGCTTCGCCTCTACAGAAGAGGAGAAGTTATTAGTTGTTCGGGCTGTTTATTTACTACATCGTGTAGGTCGTGAACGTCATAAGGCATTTTTTCAAGCTGATTCTTATCATACTAGTATCGCATTTTTTATTCATGAACTTTTAGGTTCTCTATCAGGTGATAGAAAACGATGGTTTCAGAAGTTGCAGATAGAGAGTCTCCGTGCGTGTGTAGCCATGATAGAGGCTACAGGGTGTAGGAACGCAAGACTTTGTCTTCCTGGGATTGTCTCAGCTTGTGTGAAGTATATTGTTCGCGCCCAGCATGGAACAGACGGTGTTAGCGTTCGCATAGAGGCGATTGAATTGCTGCGTATTTCACTCATAACTTCTCTTGCCTCTAAACCAGAAGATGAACAATGGCTGCGAGAGACTGTAGGTCATTTGGGAAGAAGTATGTCACATTTACTGGCACCAAACTTTTTAATTAATGATAGTTTCACTCTTTCAATATCGGAAGCATTACTGCATCTCATTATGGATGTACTGCTTCTTCCTTCACTTGCCCTATTCCTTGAAACACCGCTAGTAAGAGAGTTGCTGATTGGTTATTTTCTCTTAGCAAACCAGGTGATTCTTCTTGGTGGTAACGTTTGGAATGTTTTGAATTGCATGCCACAACCATTCTTGCAGCAACAAATAGTAGTGGAAGTACTTCGGACGCAGTTGGGACAATTGCGAGGATTAGAGTTGCTGCATTTCACTACTTCACTGCTGCGTTGTGGAGCCACACTTACAGAAGTTTTTTTTGAAGATGATTCCTTCTTGCGTGTCTTGCAGCGCTGTATTCAGGTAACCGGTACAGAAATGTCTGTGGAAGAGCTTTACGACTCACAAACTGTACGTAGTCGATCCTGTAGTGTTGTGGACCAATTTATTGAGTCTGCGGCATACACGGCCAGTCAATGCCCAAAGGGAAAACGTATACTTGTAGCCTTTATGGATGACTGTGAGGCTACACTTGAAAACTGGGATTTATATATGATACATCCAGCAACCATATATGTTCTTACACGCCTTATTTTGTGGCAGTTCAAGACTCCTTTATGGGTGCAACAAATAGGGGAGAAGGAACAAAGGGAAGAAAAGAATGAGAAAAGAGAAAAATATGAACGACCAGTGGAGGAGTTTGTGAATTCTGGTATGTTTGAACAATTGTGGAGTATCGTGGCTTCTCCACATCTTTGGAATATTACTGAAGACGAAGAACTTTGCTCATATCAACAACGACATCATCGTCAAGTAATTGCTGCGACAATTCTTCGTTTTCTCGAGCTCACAGCTCATCTACTACGTGATGGGACGGGATCTCATAAAGGAAAGCGCAAGAGAGCTTTTAAACGACTAAACGTCCTTGTTCTGTATTTGGTTCTTGAAAAAGCAGCTGTTGCAGGGATCGTACATGATAATGCTATGTATACCTTAGAAGCTTTTGGTGAAGCAGGAGGATATGTTGATACACTTGTTTTTTTTCTTGATCAAAGTGGATTTATTGTTGATGAGGCTGCACGTGCTGTAGAGGAAGAATCTCTTCGTGTTTCAGCAGCTAGTGTATTACGCGGCAGCATTGGACTCCTTCAGAGCCGACTTGTCTCAGGTCTTCACAGAGAGGGTGTTAGTGTAATAACATCACGACAATGGATTGATACTATAAGAAACTGTAGATTTACACCAATTGTAGCTAATATTATTGTTATACAAAAAACTTCTGATTTTGTTGCCTCTGTGATTAAAGTTGCATGTGATGCATGTCGTCATGCTACAGTAGAGGATGATACAGCTAGTGCTCATGTATCACTTTTGTTACTAACAGATTGTTTTAGTATAAGTGCGGCACTAAATCGCTCTGTCCCACAACTTGGAATAGATGAAGAGCAGGAACGGTTCACTACTGCAGCAAATCCTCGTGTTCAGATTTTACAATTAGGTGTATTGGAAGCTTTACAAATGTTGCTAGCTTATTGCACCAAACATGATGTAGTAGCCTCAATAGCGATTAAAGCTGTAATACGTGCCCTTACCGTGTTTCTTACTACACCAAAAACCGAACTATGGTTACAGGAGAAAACTAAGGACGATGATATTCCATCATCTCCACCATTATTTGCATGGGAGGATAACACTACTGCAATTATTCCACAAAGTCATCTTCGCACTGTATATAAGATATATCTCTCATTTATAGCCATCCTCACGGAGCCTATTGCGTCTTTTGCTTTTACAAGCGCCTCGAGAAGCCGATCTGCACAAGAGCGACGGGCACTTGAAGATGTGCGACCCACTCCTGCAGTTATAACTGCACTTGGAGGTCTGGAGGCACTTTTTGCCCTCACAACTGAGTTTCTTTCACGGCGAATGGTGGATGAGGTACTTCCTTTGGTAGCCACATGGTATGAGCGTGGGGCCCTCCCACGTATTCCCACAAGAACTGAAGAAAAACTGCGGGATGCAGTGAAAAGATTTCTTCTAGGAATATGCGAAATTGACCCTTCAGTGAAAGAGGAAATATATTCGTCATTTACTTCGTTATTCCCTTCAGTACTACCACCACCAGTAATAACAGCACCAGCAGCAGCATCTACAGTTGATCCTGTAACACCTGATGTGGTAACAGAGTAGACGTGTAGTGGCTTTCCTTTCCTTTTTTTTTTTTCTTTCTTAATGTATTTCATCCTTATACTTGGTAAGGGTGTAAAAATATTAAATAAGAAAAGAGAAAAGAAAAACCAATACTGATTTTTTCGTTGCGCGTTTAAAATGTTTCTTGCTTATTCATACGGTATGGTATTTGATACCTTTTTATATTATTATTATTATTATTATTATTATTATTATTATTATTATTATTATTATTATTATTACTATATTCTTCTTTCTTTCTTTTCATGCATCTTGCTCTCTCTTTTTTTCTTTTTTTTTCTTTCTGTCCTGAGTCCCCTCGTTCTAATTTTCTTTTTTTTTCCCTTCTAAAAGGGGTGGTTGGTATTTTATGCCTTCCACAAACGTTGCTGAAGTGCCGGTCCCACCGGTGGTGTATGGCACTGTAGATCCACTTCTTAAACTCCTAACAGCGTTCCCGGTACCTCAACTGCTATCCACATCTGCACCACTACCAGAAACCTCATTATTATCATTATCATCATCATCTTCTTCACCTCTTAGGGATTCCGGTGTGGCTTGTGGTGTAAACGAAACTTCTGATGATGATATTGCACAGGCGACACTAGAGGCCGCCCGTACTCTTATGGTCTCCAGTAGTTACATGTCACTCTGTCGCTCTACTGGCGATAATAGAATGGGAAACAGTAACCACAATATGGACAAACTCTCACCCCTGGCCCAACGCATTCACAAGGGTCTACAAGAAATGGAAGAAGAACATCTTAGTGGCATTGGTAACATGAAGACTATTGATGCCTCATCTAAGGATGAAAGATGGTCACACAATAAAGATTATCATATGACGCTGCGTCCTCGGAATATCCCGTGCAACGAAAGAAAAAGTGATATCAAGGATGATGTAAAAAAAAAAGAGAAAAAGGAAAATAATCTTATTCATCTACCTCCTGTTGTGATTCAAAAAGCAGAATTGGAACGTGCCCAGCAGAAGACGGAGATGTGCTGCCACTTAACTATTTCTAATATTATAGAAGGTGGTTTAAAAGACGCTAATTCCCTTGAAAGTTTACTCGGCATGTTATCTAGTACTGCACAACCATTTAAAGACATTAGTGGAGATCGTCTGACGTTGTTTATATCTTCGTTGGTGGTCCCACTAGTGGCGGATGAGATGGATATATCTACCGCAGTTATGAAACAGGCTGTAGCATGTTGTGCATGTATTTCTCATCCATCTTTTGAACTCTCCATTCTACCAGAGGACATTATTGATAATCTCATAACTATTCTTGCTGGAGTTCTTCGTCGTGTTATGAAACGCTTATCAGGGCGTTTACAAAATGATTTAAATAACCACAACAGTAACAAAAATAGTAGCAGTAATAATAACCAGACAGATTTAGAGACTCTTCGAGCTATGCTGGATAGTTTTACTTTGAGTGTGACTGAAATGAGATTAGATGTTTGTGTACACGGGGATTTACTTCGATTAGAAGATCTTTGTTTTCAATGCCTCTTTGTTATTAACAATGGCTGCGGACGACAGGAGGCTACAAACTATGCTGCGTATGTAATAAGTCATGCAGTAGATCTTTACCGCTGTATATGGAACCGATTGGAAATACAACGTGATACAGTTTGGACAAGTTTCTTTTCACGACTACCACTTGGTGAGAATCTGCTACTTCGTTTATATATGCTTCCATCTGGTGTGAGGATAATGCCTCTCACAGCGGCTGTAATGGCTGCTGCACAATCTATTCCTATCTCCTCCAATGTTATCACAAAGAGTATGGTAGATCGTTTTCAACAGCAATGCCAAATATGGTCAACAATGTTTTTTCAACACTTTCTTCTTGAAGAACGTGAAGAAAAAAAAGAACGTGATCTTTGTAGTACCATTGTGCTTCAATTTTGTGAAGATTTAGCATACATGGTAGGACTTCCAGAATACCCTGCTGCAGATATTTTATTACGTTGTTTTCTTGTAAGTTTTATGCAATTTTGTTTTCGCTCATCCAATGCAGAAAACGAACCTATTTCACTGTTACAAGGACTTCGAGCAGTATTTGTAGATGCTGTTTTTCGCGTTTCATGTGTTCTCTTTGGTGTCGCACAGAAAAAACTTCAAATCTCCAATATTCCTGATGACTGTGTTCTTTCAGCTGCCCAACTTAATCAATGGAGAGAGCTTACTCATTCTGAGGAGAAGAAGAAGAAAAAGAATACCTCTGAAGAAGAAGAAGAAGAAGAAAAAGAAGAGTCACAGATATCTGGTGAGGAAATGCAGCGAGCTCTGCTATATATGGCTCTTTCACGCTCCGTTAATGATTCTACAATTGAGAATGCTGCTTCATTTTTTCATATACGAGCTGCACACATCTTTACATGGGCATTGCGTAATAATAATAATCTTCATCTTCCGGATGCTGCACTAGATTCATTAGTGCGTACGAAGCATGTTGTTGATGGTGGATTAACACTTGACTGGGATACACTGCATGCATGCAGTATGCAATTGTGTGCAGCATCTGAAAACTCACTCTTAAGCCCGAAGGCGAAGGAACGACTTCCAGCATGGCTCTTGTCAGTATTTCAAGTACGAGATGATCAATATAATGCTGGTATAGAAGCTGCACGTAAAAAGGCATTGGGTCATGTAGCGAAGTTAACTGCTTTGTACCCACCGTTACTGGAAAAGATTTGGCCTATAGCTCGACGCTGTGTACGTGAAGATAATGCACGTGTACGTGAGGGTATTATTCCACTTCTTCTCACGTTATTCACAGAAACATGTAAAAATGGTGCACATGCCGCTACTGTTGAGGAAACCGCTACAGATGTTATTAGTTCTCTTCTACATCTTCTTGCTGACCGTAGTGTTACGGTAGTCACTCGCGCTATTGCAGCACTTGACACACTTCTCACAGATGCCCCATTTAAATCCCTATTAGATAGCCTTACAGTGGGAGAGCAATTATTAACGTTTACAGAATCTAAGCTACTTTTGATGATGGGACCTGCAAAGGAGAGTCGTCATCAAAATGACGTCATCCGCCTTTTTCTCCGTCGCTGGGTTGGACAAGAGCCCACAGACATTGCCGCCCATCACACACACACACAAGTGGCGAGAGAACTCACCCGACTTATTCTTACTCACATGTCGTACCCATACGAGGTAACAGAGTCCTTGCATCTCGTTGCCCTACTCAGTGGAATGCAGCGAATGGTGTCGGAGCGGGAGACGGCGGTGAAACGCACAACACGACACAGTTTGGTGGACAGTCAGGAACTGCGCGGTGTGTTGATTGGTGTTGCGAAAGTATTATGGGCCGAACATCAGCGACTCACACCGGCACCACAGGCCGCCGCAGCGTTAGCGGCTATTCATGCACTTGCCATTGCCTGCAGTGAGTGGGTCATACCGCTGCTGGAAGTACTCGCAGAGGCACTTGTTCAGCCGCTGCCAGTCGGTGCTGCCGAACGAGAGGCGGCGGGAATTACACTATTGCATGTTTGTCGTATTTTGAGAAGAGTGCTTATGGCACCACGTCCACCACCACTTTCACTGGATCAACTGGCTCGTGCTCTTACAGCACTACTCTCCAAGTACGTAGGACCACATCAACAACAAATTCTCCTATCTGCTAGTGGAGTGTTAACAGCAGCCATAACATGCGGTACTGATAAATTATCAAACCATGTAAATACAAAGTACCTTACACTTTGTTATTCTCTTATGAATGCCTACTATGTACGTACCATGTCTCTTCTTGGATCACTTCAGACGGACCCACAAAGTGTCGCATATACGCTGCGTTTCCTTTTTCTTCTTTCAGAATTTTTACGATTGTATCCAGGATGGAAGAATCACCATCCCGAGCTTACAGAAGAAACAGCTGTCAGTGGTTCTGGTGTACCAAACCAACTTGCACGTGGTAATGGTATTTGTGCAAATGTCTATACAGTGGTAGAACAAGTATTACATCAGTCTCCAGATGAGACACAAAAAAAGACAGCTGTTATTGTACTTCGTGTATTGGCATCTCTTTGCATGTTGCAGCCTACTGTATTTCTTTACCGTTGTGAACCTCACCTTCGCCGTGCCTTGGATTCCGCTGCGGATATCTCTTTACAAATTCAAGGTCTTGTTCTTATTCGTGATTTCTTAAAGGATGAGGACGCACGTGTTGACTATGCGGCATCAATGAATGCTCCTGTACCTCCAACAGCAGCATCACCATCATCATCAACATCATCTCCACCTCTTCCTCCTCAAGGTACACCTCCACGTTCCTCTTTACCTAATGATCGAAAACGAAAAAGACGTGAAGAACTTAACGTAGTGGCCGCTCCATGTGTGGAAGAGCAAAATAGTGGTATGGCAACTTGGGTTATGCAACAATTTCATGGTGAAGTATTACAATTGTGTGAGAGCAGTTCGGTAGCGGTGAGACAGCTGGCTTTTGAGGTACTTCAACTGTGTGCCCAAGGAGGTTTGTTGCCTCCATCAAAGTACGCTAGTGCGTTGGTGGTCATCGCAGCAGATCCACAGAATAATGTGATGCGACAAGCTGCTGTGGAGTGTTTAAAAGAACATAGTGAACGATACCCAGATATTATCGCTGCCAACGCTGCAACTGGAGTAGTTAGGACCTTTGAACTACATGATGTTTGTGGATTAAATGTACTTCGCAGTGCTTTAGTAGCAGATAATGGATTACAAGCAGAGGAATGTGTTCATGCACACCTCTTCACATCACTACGCAAACGTCACCGAGATGCCGTTCTCTCTTCAATTATACGTTACTTTTACCAAGAAGGACGTGCAAGACAGTGGTTACAAGATCATTGCAACATCAAAAGTACTAGGACAGATGATCCTGAAGAGTTAGCACGCAATCCATTTCCTTTTCTGGCACATTTGTCGTTTATTCTGGCTTACATTCCCTACACTGTTGAGAGTGATGTGCTACATGTACTCAGTAGTTGTCGTGCAGCATTAGATATGATTGGACAAAGTTGTCTTGATTTTGTTGAAGCACAGCGAAATATGTTACGATCTAAGAAGTCTTCACAGAGGGGATCAGGAAGGAATAGCATTAAAAATATGGGAATATTTGATACTTCTGTTGAGTGGTGGAAATGTTTTGGGATTCTTTGTATTTCTCATATTTGTATTTTATTGCGAACGGAGTATGGTCTAAACGCGGCAAAATTAAAACGACTCGCAATTCGCCGCAGTACCGTTTCTCATCACACGACTACTCTTCCACGACGTGAGCCACACAGTGCGGCTTCTCAAGCGTTCCAGCAGCGAATGGCAGCACTTGTGCAGAAAGCCACACCATTGTGGGAATGTAATGCAGATCCGAAGAGTCGCCTGGCTGCTGTGGAGGAAATGCACGCTGCCCTCACGGTGGTGGTATTGCAAGAGGCAGCCGTACGTGAAGAAGAAGAAGAGGAGGAAAAGGAGAAGGATTCAATCCTGCACAGTGGAGGGAATAGTAGTGGTAAGAAAAAAAGACCCAGGGGATCAAAAGGTACGCCCAGAGAAAAGACAACAGAGATGGATGAGGAAAGAGAACCACAAGAGCAGCAGAAGCGAGTACAGAGGAAACGGGGACCCCAACGGGTTGCGAAGAGAGTTTTTAAAAGAAGCAGTAGTAGTAGTAGTAGTAGTAGTAGTAGTGGTAGTGGTAGAGTAAGTAACAGCAGTTCCTCGTCGTATTCTTCTTCTGGTGATGATGACTCTGATGACAACCACTCCAGTAACAGAAGAAATACAGATGCCTTTGACAGAGAATAATAAACCACTTGAATACAGGTAAAGATGGTCATCACAATATTTTTCTTATTTCTTCTAAATGCTACTGCTGCTGCTGCCGCTGCTGCTACTGCTGTTATTATCACACCAGTTATTTTTCTGCTTTTCACTAAATATGTACACGTATAGATAGATATATATATAGAAAGGGATGAATGAACGAAGGAGGGTTTGCGAAGGCAAATAACAGACTTTATGCTCTATCCATATGGATAGAATGCCTGCATATACAGAGATAAATATATATACACAAGTATTAGTTAGGTGGTTAAGCCAAATGATTATTCAATATGTTGATATAGTTCTCATGATCAATCGTTTTTCTCTTTTCCTTTTTTTTTCTTTTTTTTTTTCTTTGTACATTTTAACAACAAAATAAAACAAAAGCTGCACGCTGCACAGCAATTTTTCTCTGTGAGGTTTCATTAAAAAAAAAAAAGACAAGAGCAGGAATAGACAACGACAAGGAAGAATAATAAAAAAAAAAAAAAAAAAAAAAAAAAAAAAAAAAAGGCAGACGTGTAAAAAAGAAACAAAAGGAGAAAAGTACTAGTACTATACTGTACTGTACTGTACCACATGTTCCAAGAAACCATTGAGACTGTGCTAGAGTTCATTGGTTCTCACAGTGAACAGTACGGCTGCAGCGGGGTAGAGCTGCTTTCCTTTGTCTCTAGTGATGTACTGCCATACTACGGACTCGCAGGGCACAATACTCTTCAGCGTACGGTACTAGATCTCCTTATTAACGAGGGCGGTAGCTTTACGGTGAAATGTGGAGGAAAAGTAGTGACAGCAACGGAACTCATGGCTGCACCAATTCCCTACAATGATTGTACTTTCTTCCCAACACTAGAGTTGCAGGAGAAGACGTTAGGAATATCGTTACGCCACAAAAATGTCCGTGCGGCTGTAAACTACGCCTGTGATCACTTTGTAACGGGATTTCGCCGTTATCAGAATGTGAAGGGAAAGGCCGGGGAACGTACATCTGTTTCCGGATTGGGAATTGGCATTAGACAACTGTTGCGAGAACAGTGGTTGCGTGTACTCTATGTGTGTGAGAATGAGACAGCCCCGATGGTGCCGTATCTCGTGCCCCACTTCGCCGCCCCACCGACGTATGAACAAGTAACGAAGCGACGATCGCCCATGGAAACATATTTGGCACGTCGCCGAGAAGAACAACGACCTCCGTTTCTTCCTATTGATCTTTGTGTGGCACGCCGTATTATTATGTCCTCTCCGGAGCAAAAATTAGTATTTGAAGATGCCATTCATGCTATTTTTGCAGCACATGGACAAGAGGTACCAAAACGTGATGGACGCAAGATGCGTTTCGCCCTCCGTCGTATGTTAACTGCTGCAGGTCTTTCTGTTGTGAGAGGTTCTATCGTTGTAAGACGCAGAGAGCGTTCTGTCTGGGTAGTAGTTCCAAATAGTGGACCAGTAGTATCTGATGATAGTGATGGTAATAGTGATGATGAAAATGAAAATGCCAGTGATGATGATAATGATGATGAGACCTCTTCTGGAGAAGAAAGTGGTGAGGATAGCGGTGATGATGATCATAATAATAATGAAAATGAGGAGCATAGAAATACAACAACTCCAAAAGTATCACTAACAAAAACGGGGACTACGAATACAACACGAAAAAAGAGTGATTTCTTCTGTGTTGATCCATCTTATCCTCTTGCATTACAAGTTGTTAAAGTAGCGGAACAGCAACCAATTGCACTAGAGTCAATATTACCACGTGTTATTCTATATGATTTTCGTGCCACAACACAGGAGGTACATCGAATTACACGACAATATGAGGAACGTTGGGGAACTATTGAAAGTAGCAATGTGTTAAGTAGTCATAGCAAAGCGTTCACCCGACTTGTGCGACCAAAGGGATATGATGAGACACGACAAAGTCAAATAAATAATAATACGAATACTATTACAAACAACAATGATCATAATGAGAATACAGTAGATACATTACTACCTAAAGGTGTATCACAATGGGCGGTAAATACAGTAATGGAGGCTCTGCGTTCTGCACCATTACAGGCATTATCTCTATTTGAATTGATGCGTAGTGTTGACCGACGGACGTTAAGACGTGTGCTGCCGTACCTTCGCGATGAGGGACGTCTCACGACATCTGGCATAACGTTAGCGAATAGTAGACGTGTTGGTATTGTTGCACTTGCCGGTGTTGAACTAACTACTGAAAAACGAATGAAAATTGAACAGGCATATCTTAATAGCCTTTCTGCCCGTAAAGAAAAACGACAACAATCAAAGGTTATGTTACAACATTTACCAGAGCCTACAGAAGGAGGTGTTGGTCGATCTGCTGCTGCTGTTGCGATAGCAAAGTCTACGGCGAAGAGTTCACGATTAGTGGCAAAACTTACAATGGTGCGTAATGGGTATTCTCGTGTTGGTCTATTTCGTCTTTCACGACTTCATATTGAACTTTGGCGTATATGGTGTGCACTTCAACGTTCGCCTGGTGATTCCCTTACACTGGAAGAGATACTGCAGGAAATGACTCTTAGTTCCTTTTGTATAATTGTTGGTTTAGCTGATATTGACGTTGGGAAGTATATTAACACCCAATCATTATCTACGGGGTCTTGTACGTTGTGGGGTACATCACTCCGTCGTTTGCCTCCCACATTGCAGCAACATTGTCGTCGTTCCGGTGTACAACCCCTCTTACACTCTCTTGCTGGATTGCAAACACAAAGCCTTGTATTGTCTGATACATCACTCGCGGCATATTTAGATTTGCAACTCTCAGATATTTCCATTACACTTGCGGAAACTGCCTGTGATCGACAAAATCGCATGCATACTTTCTATAGCAGCGGGGATCCTAACAAGAATCAAGTCAGTAATAATGGTAATAGTAGTACGGCAACAACACCACAACAGACATGTCATGCCTTGTTGAGTTTCTGGGGTGACTGGTGGGTAACTGTTACACCACCGCGTGAGTCCACCCGAAGAGCAGCACTCATTAGAGAAATTTCACTAACAGAACCAAATTTATCAAATGTTCAACTGGTCGCACTTTCACGGTTATTACGCATGGATTGTGGGGTCCTTGCGGAGTACTTGCTACAGCGGCAGGGAATGGTACATGCAAGGAAACGAACCTTACGTGATGTGATGCAAGGAGAGGAAACAGATTTAATACGACACGGTGGTCATAACACTAATACAATGCCACGGCGCCGAATTGAAGTGAATGGAGTAACAATGGCAGAGGCACTTGATGTTGCGATGCACACAGATGAACCAAAACGAGGTTTCACACGCCTTCTCACATTGGTACGACGTTACGGTAAACCATTGCAGGTATCTTCTTACAACCCATATAATTCATGTGTACATGGGAGTATGAAAACATTGATGCAATGTATCGTAGATACAACGGAGAAGAGTACATCTTCCTCTACTCCCACTGGTTTGCAGGCAACTGTGGCTTCAGTGGTCTCACCTAATCTTTCAGCAGCGCCATGCAGTACAGAAGCGAAGGAAAAAAGGGCTGTAGAGACTTCTCCTCCTGCAGTGGAGACGAATACTGATGCGATTGCAGCAAATGTGGAAGCGACCCCCAGTGAAAAGAAAGAACAACCAGTCGAACCGGATGAGACGTTGCAAGATATCATACGAATGATATTACTTACTGATGAAGCACACTATGATGCTGTCGCAGCGAATGCACTTCTCTCACACTTTTCAGAGGAAGATCAACAACGGTGTATTGAGTGGTTATTACGATTCCCTGCTTTTCGTACACGCTCTGGTGGTTCCGGTCGACTTCCACGCATTGAACTATCGCCGGTTCTCAGTTTTATACCAGCGGCCGTTGCGGCATGTGTGACCCACCGTGGCAGTGCGAGTGCGACCCTTGTTCACGACATGGCGACGGGATTGCTCTTCACACCCCACTCAAACTGCCAGCGCTGGTGTATGCCTCCCTTTACAATGACAGAAGATGTGAGAGAGATGGAGTGGATGCGACGCGCCCCACGTCTTGTGGAGCAGCCATCACTTGATTTAAGTTCTCTCGCCGAAGGCATTCGGGAGCAGAAGGGATTGGCGGTAGTACGGTTACCACGATTTGTCTGGCCATCCCCTGCGGCGGCAAGTACGGCGAAGACCACGTTAACTTCCTTATCATCATCATCATCTACTACGGCGAGTACTAATAATACCACTAGTGCTGGTAATACTAATACCGTTCCAAAGGCGTTACCAACAGCTGCATCTATGCGACAGGGAGTGGAGCCGTACCCTGCGCGAGGTCTTCTGCGCACGTGGTCTCGTCTGCAACATCTTGAGCTGCGGGATATTCCCGTGGATCCTCCACCATCACTAGAGCAGGTTGCAGTGGCACGTGCGGCAGTTCTCACACCAGAGAAGACAAAAACATCCTCATCATCCTCGCGGTATCCCAGTATCTTTCATCACGTGGATGGTGCCTTCCATGAGTTTCTCTGGCGAAGTTTTCTCTTTGCTGTGTACACTCTCATACACCAGTCGCCTGGTATCACCGAGTCGCAGTTGATGCAGCGACTTAGGGGAGGCGGTCTTGTGAGTTCTGTCTCCTGCCGACTTGCACTAGATTTCCTCAAACAATCATTAGTGATTGTGGCGCGTTGTACTGTACTGCCCTCCGAGAGGGGCTCACCAAGTCCATTTGCAACAACAACAGCAGCAGTGGGAGAGACGACATGTCAAGAGCAGGAGTGTTACTTTTCTACTGTTCCTCAGGAGGGGCCTTGGAACGTCATGACTCTGTAAAGAGTAAGAGAGAAAATAAAAGAGAAAAAAGAAAAGAGGGAAGAAGAACATGTCGAAGTAATAAAATATATGGTTCTTTTTCTTTGTGTTTTTCTTTTTTTCTTCTCATTTCATCTTTATATTGGACTCCGATTTCACTCATATGGTACTCTTGCACTTGTGTTGTGTGTATGCTCTCTTTGGGACACGTCAAATTGTCTGGGATTAACGTGCCGTTAAGAAAAAAGAAAAGAAAAGAAAAGAAAAAATACATTCGTTTGCTTCCGTTTTTTTTTTCTTGAAAATTTTTATTTCAAACACTACCGCAAGTTTTTTTTTTCTTCTGTTCTGACAGTTGATAATATTCTTGTTGGTTCCTTGTAATGGCATGCGCATTGCTTTTCGCTGCTCATATATATTTTTTTTCGTTCTCCCCTTCCCACTTTCATATTGTTATATTGTTATTATTAATACTTTTAATTAATTCCCTTTTTTTTTGGATTATTTATTTTTTTTTTTCTTCTTCTTAGTTTTATTGTGTAGTGAGGCGGTACATTTACAGATCGTTAACAATGCAGATTCGGCGAGCCACTATGGATGATATGTACCAGATGCAACACTGCAATCTGCGGTGTTTGCCTGAGAATTACAATCTCCGATACTATTTATATCACATCCTCTCATGGCCACAGTTACTGTACGTGCAGGAAGACTATAACCGCAACGTTGTTGGGTACGTACTCGCCAAGATGGAAGACGAGGAAAGACCCGATAAGATTCATGGTCATATCACAAGTATTGCTGTTCTCCGCTCCCATCGTCGTCTCGGTATCGCATCACGTGTGATGCGGGCTTCCATGAAGGAGATGGAAGAAGAATATGATGCCAACTACTGCTCACTTCATGTACGTATGACGAATGACGCGGCTCTTCATCTATACCAAGATACCCTTGGCTTCCGTTGCGCTAACGTGGAAGAGAAGTACTACGTTGATAATGAGGACGCATATCATATGAAGAAGTACTTTAAAGGGACAAATCCTGGTCTGTATGTGACTATGAGCAGACAACTTGTTCGTCAAAATAATTCTAATGGAACTACTGGAAATACTGCGGGAACAGGTGGAACATCATCATCAACAGCAGCGGCAGCGGCGACAACGGATGGTGCAAAACATGTGGACCCTGTAGATCTAGAGACTTTACAGAAGGAACTACTAGAACTTGAGGATGATGGAAAGGTGGGCGGTAAGGCATCAGGTAAAGGACGGAAACAGCAACCACAACAACAAACACAACAACAACAAGCACAATCGAAAGGGGGGAAGCGCGGTAAGGGTAAAAAATAACGGTGTTTTTTTTTTTTTTTTAATGCTTTTTCTTCTTTTTCTTGCTGGAAGCACACAAGAAACGAAAAAAAAAAGAAAATAAACACAGTATAAAATCTATTATGAGTGAGCGTGGCGGTGGGTGTCAACGGTGATACATCTTTGTTTTGTTATTATTTGTATATATTCGTTCTCCCACTGAGTCTGTTTGTGTGTGTTTGTCTAAGTGTATAAACCCATATATAAACACCGCTGCAACGTTTACTAGGAGGAAACTCCTTCACACCCATCTCCCCATGTCTTCTCACACTTGTTCAATATTTCTTTTCTCTCTCTTTCTCTTTTTTTCTTTTTCTATTGTATTCCCTTCTTATCCCCTTTTTAAACAAAAACAAAAACAAAAACAAAACTGCAGCCCGTGTATGTACCAGCCGCTCCTTGAGCTGCCGCCCGCTGCCACGACTGTGTGTGCTGCCGGGGACCGTCTGCTTGGCGAGGCGGCGGGGGTGTTGTACAGCAGCAGCCAGCGCGCGGCGTATGAGGCACACGGCGGGGCGGTGTATCCATCGTGGAAGCCCGCAAATAGAAACGTCGTGGGCCGAGGGACACGGCAAACAACAACAACAATAACAACAGGAGGAAGAAGTAGAAAGGGAGGGGCGTTGTATTTATGGCGACAACAGTCTCTTAAGCAACTTGTGCGATTGTTGCGACCAGTAGTCTCGTTCGTGCCGTTGTTGCGTCTTGTGTTGCCATTTGTGGTGCCGGCCTCTGCGAACTGCACACCGCGATTGTTGTTGAAGAGCGCCGAGTACCCGGAGCGCGTGACGGCCATTGCCTTTCACCCACACCGTATGCTGTTAGCGGCCGTTGTGGATGAGGGTGCTGGCAGCTCTCGTGTGGTGGTGTATGATGTTGCGGAGAGTAGAGAGAGATGTGTGTTGACGCACGCATTTCAACAACACGCGAGCTGCGTGGCGTGGAAGCCGTTTTCACGTGATGTGTTGGCGGTTGGTTGTGATGGTGGTGTACTTGTGTGGTCTCTCTCCTTTGGCACCGCCCCTGCTACGACCATCTATGGTGGAAGTAACAACAACAACAACAACAACATCTATAATCATAATAACTATAATAACAATAACGGTATGTGCAATACAAGAGGAGTGGAGGGAGAGGGGGAGGATCAAACAGCATATTGTCTCTTCTACCGCTGCACCCCACACGTACGCACTACGTGTATTAACTTCTCCCGTCGTGATGGACGCTACTTAGCTTGTGGAAGTTTAGATCACATTGCAGTCCAGTTCCATGATATTCGTCTTCCACCATCGAATGCCTTGCTGCTACGCCATGTATCAGCAGAAGGCGGCACTGAAGATGTTCTCTTCGCAGACGATGATACATTTGCCGTACGACTTGTCTGCGGTGCCGCACGCATCGTGTTATTATCATTCCCAAGTTGCGCCTCTACAACCGTAGCGACACCAGCCCCAGTGCTATCCATGGCCCCCGCACGTGTGTTTGGACCGCATCACTTTGTCTTGAACTGCGCACGTGTGGAGGGCGTTATTGTGGCGCATGTCAATCCCTTCGTTGGGGTTGCGGTTGTTGCCCTTATTTCAACGGGTGTACATCGCGGTGTGGGTGGCAGCGTGCGAAGTGTTGCCTGCAGTGGACGTCGCATGTATATTGCTGTTGAGACTGGACATGTGTTGGTGTGTCACTGCGGGCACCGTGCGGGTACCCACACACTCATTCCCATTGGTGTGGTGCAGCTTGATGTGCACAAACTGGCGGTGTTTGATGGCTGCACGGCAGGCTCGCTGCTCGCCGCAGTGGAGCGTGATCAGACCATTACCTTTTTGCCATCCTACCACGCATAGTAACCAACAACAACAAGAAGGAAAGAAAAAAGGGGAAGGTGATTTGTGTGCGTGTATGGGTTGGTGTACGTGTGAAGAGAAAAGAAAGATGCTGCAGGTCTGAGGAAGAAGAGGAGGCAGAAGGGGAAATCTGAAGGAAGAAAAGAGAATGAAGAAGAAGTATATGAACAGAGATGCAAGAAGAAGATGAAGAGGAATGAAAAGAAAGAGACAGATATAGTGAGGGAGAGAGATGAAGTGAGGTGCGTATGCAGAGAGAGATATATGCAGGTATATGACAGCTTTGGTTGCTCATATATATATATATATACCTACACCCATAATTACTGTACTTTTTACGTTAACACACTATACAAGTTGTCTCAGGAGTAGACGTGTACTGTTACTTTTTAGTATTTATCTTGCACTGCATTTTCCCTATGTTTTTTTTTTTTTTTTTTTTTTTTTTTTTTTTTTTTTTTTTTTTTTTTTTTTTTTTTTTTTTTTTTTTTTTTTGTACACTCTCATTCACTTTCTTTTTTTTGTGTTTTTATACCAATGACAGCAACAACAGCTGTGGTAATAATAGTAGTAGTAATAATAGTAATAGTGACAGTGTACTATTAATACGGCTACTAATCCTAATAGGTATACCTGCCGTTCTTACTCCTGTTGTTGATAGGGCAGAGGGTGAGATTTTGCTGGACGAATATCGTCTCACACAGTTAGTTAGTCTCTTTCTTTCATTTTTTTCATTCTCTTTCTGTTTGTGTGTGTGTGTAAAAGAGTGTGGCTCCCTATTTCCCCCCACACTCCCCAATAAAACAACAACAACAACAACAACACCAGTGGATACATACACATACACACACACACACAGTCCATAAAAATATACATTACAATATACCACCCACACACTGAGAAAGAGAAAGAGAAATAAATAGAAAGAAAGTAGAAGAGATGTCTGGAACACTTGAGAGCATCACGGCAGCCACGCAGTTGCGCCGTGCGGTGATGGAGGCCCAAAAGGAATTAGATGCAAAGCGTGAACTCTACATGGTCCGCATGGCCCGCGCCCGCGAGGTGGAGGACGGCATCGCAAAGGACCGCGCCCGGCTGCAGGACACACTCGTGCAGTATTATAAGTTTATACAAGAGAATGAAATCAAACGAACCCGCGCCACCCGAAAGGCTGTAACGGAGGAACGTATTAAGAAGGAACGTGAAGATCAAATACGTGAACTCACGGAGAAATTACACAATTTAGAGGAACGCAATGAGGAACTACGTCGATTGTACGAGATATACGCAAAGTATCAACAATACTTGGATGAGGTGTTGCAGCGGAATGACGGTGATGAGTATCAAAGCCCGCGGGATATCATTCAGCGCTGGAGTACACTGCAGGATAACACCAAAGTACTGCAGCGACGTAAAACACACCTCGAGGAGGAACTCTTGCGTAACAAGAATGCATTAAATGTAAAGCGGCAAAAGAGAAATAATGAAAGTGTGGAACTGCAGAATCAATTAAATGAACTTCAGGCTACATATGAGACCTTACAAAAGAATATAAAAATTAAACAAGATGAACTGGAGCGGTGTATTCATCAACGAAGCACTACATCCCGTACAGTGAGTCATGTGCGTATGGCCTGTAAGAATTTGTATGATCGTTGTATTCTCTGGACGATGCCGTACTCGGGCCGTGGGAAGTTTGAAGTGCGGGAAGCCGATGTGTTGTATCAACTTCATGTGATAGGTGACTGTTTGCAGGATTTTCAAGATGTGATTGAGGCACATCATCAACGTCAACAGCAAATAGCCGCTAGTCGTGCGGCAAAGGAAGAAGAAGACTAAATCTCAGTTGCAAGAAATGTGGCTGAGATGAGGAGAGGGTGGACAATGTACAAGTAGCGATGATAATGGTTTCTACACCTTTTTTTCTTTCTTTTGCGTTCATGTAATTGAGATTTGCTTTCCTTTGGTCTCTGTAATTTATTTTTCATCATCTTTGTTTTTTTTTCTTCGTGTGTTTAATGGCTTATGTTTTGCATGATATGTCTCAAATGTTTTTTTTTTTTCTTTTTCTTACTTTTTTTCTTTTTACTTTGTTTTCTTTTTTTTCATCTTACCCATGTTATAGTTTTATTGCTGCTGTTGCTGTTGCTGCTATTAGTAGTATTAGTAGTAGTAGTGGTACCAGAGGCACACCTGGAGGGGGGCGGGGGTTGAAAGGATCAATAACAGGGACGGAACCAAAGCCAAGAAGAAACGGGGTAGGGTCAAAGTGAAAAGTGAGAAGACAAACAAACAGTTAACGAAATAACTTACGAACTAACTAATCCCAATCCAACGAATATCATTTGACTGCGTTGATACCCCCTTAAAGCCGTTTCTACTAATCCTCTCATATATATACATATACATTCACAGTAGAAAAAAAAATATATATATATATATATAGACAGATTTATATATATATATATCCACACATTTCTCTCTATCTCTCTCTCTCACTCTCTCACTGAGTGAGTTTGTGTGTGTTTTTTCTTCATGCCGTTTCGGCCGAGTTGCATTATCTGCTGCTCCGACTGCGATGCCGACGGTCTCTTCACGAGTTGTCAACACTTTCTCTGCGGCCGTTGCTCCGCCCGATATCCACCAGCGCAGTGCCCGCGATGCCGTAAACCGTGCAAAGCCGTAAAGGCAGGCGCTGCACTCCCAAAAGAGATCGCAGACCGCATCGGTCAAGATCCTCAACGACTGATCGCAGCAGCAGCGCAGGCAATTGAGTTTCAGCGGCGGCAGGAACAACAAACACTGCAGCGTCTGCGGGAGATTGTCACTACACTTAATCAGAGTAATCGTAGCATGGCAACGCAGATAAACGCCGCCAAGACGGAGCGTGAAAATCTTCTCAACACAATTAAACGACTACAGAATCAATTATACACTCAACAGCAACAACATCATCATCAATTGCAGCAGCAGCAACTCACACAGCGCCCACCAGACGCCCATGTTATGAATGCTGCCACTGCTGGAGGACGTGATAATAATGGCGGAAGCACTCTTTACACATCAGCCGCAGCAACACAAAACATATCATCACGCGCCTCACCGTTTCGCATTCACGGTTCCTCCGCCTATCACCAGAGCGGCACTGCGCCAAGTCCAACAAGTGCGGCTCTTCACAGTTGGCTCGCATCTCCCGCTGGGGGAGGAGGCGCCGCCGCTGCTGCCGTCACTCCGCTGGGATGGAGTCACTCCAAGCGACTGCGGGAGGATGAGCCGTACACACCCACACGCAATAGTGTTAGCGCCAATGGCATTAATGTTGGGAATGGTGGTAATGTGAATAGTGTTGTTGGTGGGGAGTCCGCGCGATTTCGACTGGCGACACCAGCCATTACGCTGCGGAATGCCTTGTCGGGCTCGCGTGATAATACACCTGTACATCACAACATGGATTGCAGTACTGCTAGTGCGGGGGCTGTTGGGATGGGAGCACCAAAGCCGCTCCAGAGTCTTCTTTGCCGGGGTCCATGAACTATGTTGGGCGTTCTTTGACCCTCTTCTTTATTTATTTTATTTTTATTTTTATTTTTGTAATGTTTTGCTTCTTCTATTATTCTTCACAAGTAAAGGAAAAGAAATTAACTCCTCAGAGAGGAAAGGAGGAGGAGAAAAAAAAAAAGAAAAGAGTTGAATGCCTTTTTTTTTGGTGTTTTCCTCTTTTTTTTGTAGTTATTCTTTTTCCTTCTCTTTTGTGTCTTTTTATTTTATTATTGTTATTGTTTATGATGAATTCTTTTTATATGGTTTGAATTTGTCTCATTGCCTTTATGTACAAATTCTTCTTAACTGTTTTTATTTTTTTTTTCTTTAAATTTCGTTTCCTTCTTCTTTGTTGCACTGGTCATTCTATTTAACGGACTGATGCGTCTGAAATTTAATTCTTTTCTTTCTCTTTCATCTTGTTGATTTTCCATTTGCCTCTCACCGAATGTGTGTAAAATCGCTGGTGTGAGGTGATTTTTTTTTTTTTTTTTTTTAATATCTTTTGATTTCTCTCGACTGTAGCACTTGGGAGGGAATAACAAGACTACCCTTCACACAACTGAAGGGAACATACAAAAGACAAATTTCTTAAATTGGCGTTAGGGATTGTACTGCAATGCAAGTCCCATTGCTGCAACAACAACAACAACAGGAGCAACAACAACAACAGCGACGTGTTGCGTATCTTTATGTTTCTCGTGAGTCTCTGTACGAGGAGACCAATGGTAATAATAGTAACAATATTAATAATAAAGAACAGAATGGTGATAATGGCAGTATGGATGAGGAGTGTGATGAGTACAACATGATCAATGAGGAAGATTCAGGTGATGGCGAGGACAATGATGACGACCATGGTCCCCTTTTGAGTCTAGATCAAATAGCTGTTGAAATGCATGTTTCAGTGGATGATCTTTTTCACGCTCTACAGAACAGTAGTGCAAACAGTAGTAATGATTCTAGAGCAGACTATTATCCATGTTGGTCCCTTGCTGTATCAGAGAGTATAAATCATAGTGGAAGTGAGGTATCAGATCCCAACAGTATTAGTAGTAACAGCAGCGGTAGAAAAAAGAGTTCCAGTAGAGAGAGAAGGAACGGTAGTTCCAACAACAATAGTAGTACCCTAGATGATAATGATGATGATGGAGGAGGAGGAGAAGAAGAAGAAGAAGAAGCCTTAATGTCCACTCACCGGCATTCCTCAAGGGAGGCAGTAGGAAGAACACCATTACTGCGGTTCTCTCTGGAGAGTGCAGGAACAACACCACCAGTCGCAACCACAATGGAAGGAAGAGTCAATCGTGAGATTGAAGAACATTTACAGGAGGCGATGGGAACAGATGAATATAGAGGACCTATTTTGTTTTACGCATCATCTAATAGCGGCAACGCTTCACATCTCACACACTACTCACTCTCAGATTCTTCATTTACTCGTTCGCTGAATACTATTCCCCCTCCTCTTCCTCTTTCTTCTGGTTCTTCTGCTGTTGTTCTTGTTTCTACGGGTTCTACTTCTTCACCTTCACCAGCACGAACACCAACACCACCAGCAATGGAACGTACACCATCGTCGTTGCCGAATCCTGCGAAACGCCGCATTCGGTTTGGCAGTCGAATTGTGAGCAGTGTGTCTGTATACACTGTTGATAGCGAGGTGTATCTTGGTTTGCACTTCCGGCAGCATTGGTCTAGTTGGGCCGCATTACTCTGCGGTTTTATTTTGGAAAGTTTATTTGAAGTACACTTAAAATGGTTTGCGAATATCGGGGGTGCAACAACTACTGCGACCATCCCTATTGCGCATTGGGTGTATACATACCGTGTCATTCTCTCTATAGTGTATAGTCTTGCGTGGCTGCCATGCTATCGCCGTCGTCTGATGATGAACGCGAATAGTAATTCTAATAATAATGATAGAAATTTTCTTAATGGGAATCGCTTTAGAAGAGGATTACGTAGTTTTTGCATGAAGAAGTTAAGTATGACATTCTTATCATCCTTGTGCTATTCACTTGCTACTGCCACGATGGTGCTGTCGAATGAAATGTCAGGATCTTCATTATTTTTTACTGCAACCATCATGCACTCTGCGTGGATTCTTCTTTACCGCGTTGCACGACGGCAAATGGTTTTCTTTATTGAGTGCTGTGGTGTATTCCTTCTTATTCTTGGAAATGTGTTATGTAATATTGATAGTACACGCGCGATGGGTCTGCGTGAAACACTATATGGGAATATTATCATGACAGGTGGGAGTATTCTTTTTGCGGCTGCTTTTCTACTTATGGCGTTTGGTCTACAACATCAACTCTGCACTACAGTGAGTATCACTGTTGCCGTTGGTGTGGAATTGTTTCTTATCACTCTTATTATGGGTGTATGCTACGGCTATCCAATGATATCAACATCATCATCAACATCAACAGGAGGAAAAGATGATAGCATGAATGCTGGATTTCTACGTGCAAACGCCCTACATGCGTTTCTACTCGGTGTAGAAGATCTTCTCTTTAGTCTCATGTATCTCTACGCCCTGTTCCATCTTGATGTTCTCTCCGTCTCTGCCTGCTTTTCACTCAAAGTTGCTATTGTTCCCATTGTTGCCCACTTTGTTGTTTGGCAGCACGCCGCTGTGGTCCCACCTGTTGTTCAGCTGCGTTGGGGGCCGTTGCTCTTCACGGGCGTTGCGGTTGTCGCCACAGCGGCGGCGGCGGTGATGTACTTTGCGTCTGTGCGGCGTCGCTTTGTGGCCCGGCGGTTATTTCACCTCCGCGGCCTCCGCCCCGTGCCGGATCCATACAGGAAGAAGGCACGGACACGGCAACAGCGACAACGGCAGCAGCTGCAACAGCAGCGGTACACACCACTGCCATCATCGGAATCAATGGCAGGAGTACGGTGATGGTAAGGATGATAATATAGTGATAATAATGGTAATCATGATCATAGTATCCGTTGGAAACTGATGTGTGTGGATATGGATACGTTTGTGACTGCACCTGTCTCTCTCTCTCTCTCTCTCTCTCTCTCTTTCTTTCTTTCTTTCTCTCGTCGCCAGTGAAGAGAAATGCTGTCTCTTCAGAGAGTCTTTTTTTTTTTCTTGCTTTTTTTTTTATTTTTATTTTGAGAACATCAATGTATCAGTGTTTCTTATCTTTTTTTTTTTTTTGTACTCTTTTTCTTTCCATTGTTTATTATTCGAATAAGAAACAATTCAGAGTATCTGTGTGTATACACACTCTTCTTATTGCGTGTGCTAGCTAATGACGGAGGGGTGAAGTTTGCTTCTGTCGGTCTTGTCCTTTTTTTTTTTTTGTACACATCCCTTCTTATGTACCACTGCCTTGTTGTCGCAATCACTGCTATCATTCCTATCACTACTATTGCTTTTACTACGATTCGTATCTGTTTCTTTTTTGCTTTTCCAACTAAACCAAACAACAGATCTCCCACATTGTGGTGGTTCCCAGTAGTGTGTGAGTGTACATATATATATATATATATATATATATATATAGATGATGATGCGGGACGACGCGGTGGCTGAACACACGGTGGCCATCAAGGACGTTCTTCTTCGTACTGCAGAGCGCCGCATGATGGCACTCGGCGGCTTCTACGCAGACTTGCAACTCAGCGACGAAGTGCAGCGGGACGCCGTGCGGGACGTGCAACTCGCCCGCATGTGGGAACAGCAACAAATACGCCGCGCAGTGCGGCGGGCGGAACTCCACACCGAACGAATGGCGGCCGTCCAGCAGGCGGAGGATCCCGCAGCGGTGTCTGTTGCAACTGCACTGAACGCCCTCGCACGAGATTTACGCTCGCGTGCATTGGCGGTGCTGCAGGCGGAGGGAAATGCCGCAGAGGCACAATCGCAGCAGCAACTAGACGCATACCTACACATACACAATAAGGATAACAAGAGCAGGAGGAAGAGTAGCCACAGTGTGAACAAGAGGGAGGATGTATCAATGCGAAGTGAACTGCCGCGTGTGGTGCTGAATATAAACGTGGGTGGCGGCCATGTGGATCGGCTGGTGGTGCGGGATGGCGATGATGTGGAGGAACTCGCAGCGGCGTTTGTGCGCCGGCATGGACTACCGCAAAGTGTAATCCGTACACTTGTGGAAGAGGCGCAGGCAGCATTGGAGGAGGAGGAGGAGAAGGAGGAGAAGTGGAGGAAGGGCGAATAAAAGAGGGCTTTTTGCAAAAAACAGCGATAACAGAAACGAGGTTGATTAGAATCAACTAGACACGGAAGTTATTCCTTATCGAGTAGTGCTCATTCATCATCTTGATGATTGATAGTGACAACAATGACGATGATGGTAGTTGTAGAAGTAATAATAATGGCTGCTTTGGTGACTGGTGAAATAATTCTCATAATGATCGATGTATGAAGTATGTACCATTCCTTGTAGTGTTTCTTTCTTTCCTCCTTTCTCTCATATAACAAAGTGTAAGCATAACTACGCATCACACCCCCAATTCAAACAATCACAAACACAAAAAAAAAAAAAAAAAATAGCAAAAAAAGAAAAGGAAAAAAAAAAGAAGAGAATAAAAGAGAATTTTTTAAAATGGCCTCGGCGCCGGCCTCCACCAAGAAGTACAAACTCGTACTGCTTGGTGACAGCGGTGTAGGTAAGTCATCGCTGGTGCAGCGACTCGCAAAGGATGAATGGAACGAAAACCAAAACTCCACCGTTGGGGCCTCCTTCTTCCGCTACGCCTGCCCCGTAGATGACACCGCCGTGCACTTCGACATTTGGGACACCGCCGGGCAGGAAAGATATAAAAGTCTCGCCTCGATGTATTACCGCGGGGCCGCCGCCGCACTGGTGGTCTACGAGATTCCATCCTACGAGAGCTTCGAGCGGGCAAAGTATTGGGTGCAGGAACTCGCGGCAAACTCACCGGAAACTATCGTGACGCTTGTGGGGAATAAAAGCGACTTGGCGGCCACACACCGCGAGGTCTCGAGCGATGAGGCCGCCGAATACGCCGCCGCACATAATTTGATGTTCGCAGAGGCGAGTGCGAAGGATGGAACGGGCGTGCAGGCGGCGTTTGTGGCCGTTGGGCGGCGACTGCGGGCGACGAATTCTCAAAATGCGGTGCGGGAAGGCGGAGTGGTGGGGCGGCAGCCGAACACACAACCGCGTGAGAGCAGCGGCGGATGCTGCAAGTGATGATGATGATGATGACGAGTAAAGGAGAGTGTGGAGAAGGAGAAGAAGAAGAGGTGTACACACATACATACAAGTAGATTATATATGAAAAAAAGAAAGATGTGGTTCGGAGAATCCGTGTGATTCTCTCTTCTCATTTTTTATGTGCATTTCTTGTAATGTGGGATTCTTAGCCACTCATTCTTCTTTTTTTTTATTTTTGCTTTATGTTGTTTCCCATGCTGTGGTTGTTTGTCCACTTTTTTAGTATTCTACTTGCGTGTTGCCGAATAGCCTATTTTTAAGGTATATATATATATATATATATTCTTTTTTTTCTTTTTCTCAGCAGTTGTTGTGTTTTTTGGTGTCTGTATTTTGCAGAAAGTGTGTTGCTTTTTTTTTTTAAAAAAAAAAGAAAATCCCATGATTAGTAGTAACCGTCAGTATCGAACAAGAGTTGTTTTTTATTTTCAGGTTTTGTCTCCTTTCTCCCATTCAGGCAAAAAAAAAAAAAACTAGGAGAATAACTCATTGAGAACGCGAAAAGTTGAGAGTGAGGCAGTGAAAAGGAAGAAGAAAAAAGAAAGAAAGTGAAGAAAAGCATAAAGAAGAAAACCACATTGAAGTGCCGTTTGTGAAGTATATATATGTACTGTCGGTTCTTTGTAATGTTTACACGTTCTGCTCATCTGACACTGTGTGCGAGTGGCTCTATCGCGGCCCCAATGTATTGTATTTCACTGCCGTGAAAATATATCATTGCTAAAAGTACCTGTATTGACAGTCTTTGTATATTCATTTTTTTTTTTTTTCTTCAGTTGAGAAAACTGCCCCCTTTCTCTTCCTTGTTTCTCTTGCTACTAGTCTTGCAGGACTGCATCGACAAGCCTAAACCTAAACCCAATCAAAGAAAGAAAGAAAAAAAAAGAATAGTTAAATGGCAGCAGCGCTGCTCCGCGAGGCGGTGGCTCTGTACGAATCCGGCAGTTTAGCCTCTGCACGCGAGGCCGCAGAAGATGCCCTTCACGCAGCGGATCCACACAACGACACTCTCTTCGCTGAAGCCCTGCTGGTGCTGGCGAATGTGTACTGCGCCGCAGAGGACTTTGCCGAGGCGGAGCGTCTCGTGGCGACGTGTTGTTGTTACGTTGAACAGCACTTGGGCCCTGCACACATTGGTGTGGCGACCGCACGGCTGAATCGTGCCATCATTCTATTAGAACGCTATCGTCTGCGTGGTGGGAATCATGACACTGCCAATACGAATGGCAATTCTAATAATAGTGGCAGTGGTGGTGGATTGCAATGGGTGGAGCAGGCGTATGCGTTGCTGCAGGCGGCGGCCCGTCAACTTGAGAATGTCGACGGCGTGGAGCGGCTGTTGCTTGCGGAGGTGCTGCACAACACGGGTGTGTGCTGTGAGTTGGTGGGCCGCCACGTGGATGCCCTCGCGGCGTACATGCGATCCATGCAGATACGCGTGCACTACACAGACACCGCCGGTGTGTGTGATTTGAAGCTCGCGCTCACGATGGAGCACGTGGCGATGTTGTACCGACTGCTGCAGGGCGCGCGGCTGCAGGAGGCCGCACGGCTGATGGACGCCGTCGCCACAACACGCAGACGTTATTTGGGCCCACGCCATCCCTTGTTTGCGGCAGCCATTCTCGCACAAGGTGTGATTGCCGCCGAGTTGGGTCACAAGCGGCGTGCGGTGTTGTTACTGCAGAAGGCGTTGGATATACGCAAACGATTGTATGGGGAAGAAGATCCGCAGACACGTTGTGTGGCGCAACTGCTTGCAGAGATATCATAACGTTCCATAGAAATAGAAGGAGAGGAGGAGTGGGAGAGTGAGAGAGAGAGAGAGAGAGAGAGTTGAACGCTAATTTGCTACATCAGTTTTGCCAGAGTGAAATTAAATCTTATATATGAAGAGAGAGAATGTGTGTGTGTATATATATATATGTAGTGAGGTTTTTTTTTTTTGTTTTGGTGTTTTATTATATCTGCATTTCTCTCTCTTTCTCTCTTTTACAGACAAAAATATTAGTTCTAGGTCTTCTCCAAGACTACGATAGACACCAAAAAAAAAATTGTATAAAGAAAGAAAAAAAAAAAAAAATACCCCCAACGGGACACGTGGGAGTTATTTTCCATTATTATTACTATTCTTATTGTATTATTCTTATTGTTATTAGTTATTATTATTATTCTCTTTCATGCGAGAAGGGCAAAAGTGCCGCCTCGATGTCTCCACGTGGGATGCATCACCGATGAAGCACTCTGCGGCGTATGCAACTGTTATTGGTGTTGTTGTGGGGGAGCGACGCCACCGCGATGACGCTTCTCGGGTGTTGTATTACTTTCATACGCTTCGCATTGAACGGCCTATTGAGATTACCGCTGCTGAGAAGAACAGTGGGAGTAGCAGCAGTAGTCTTCTGCACTCACGTCGTGAGAAGAAGGAGGAGTTGTCTGTAGGCGCACATGCACTTAACTCTGCTGGTGGATTTAAGTACAGCTTCGATGGTTGGTATGATGAGATATTTCTTTACAAGATTGATGAAGAGGAGTTAGAGCCACTGCAGCGGGAGTGGTGTATGGCGATGGAACAGAACACATCCCCGTGTGAATTGCTGTATCTCTGCTACGCCAGTAGGCCCTGGTTTGAGAGTCCCTTCACATCTCTACAGTATATACAATTACCAGATCGCCATTTGTGTTATTCTGTCTCTATCTGTCATCGCTGTTTATCGCCCTTTGTCTCGCAGCAGCAATTACGTGAACACCTTACCGCCTACTGCCCCCACCGCCGTCCTCCTGGTGTATTACTCTACAACGATACAACCTGCGGTCGACGTGTCTATTACATTGATGGTGCAAAGGAACTACATTACGGCCGTTGTTTATCTCTACTTGGGAAATCATTTCTCGAGAGCAAACAGGTGGAGAATGATGTGGACATTTACGAGTTCTTCGTTGTCACCGCCCCGCGGGCATCACTGCCATATGTAGTTGGTGAGATGGATGAGTCTACATTCCGGCATGAGGCCGCCCACTTTGACGCGGAACACTGGGACGGTGATGTTGTGATTGGTTACTTCAGCCGCATCAAACACACACCGCAGCATTGTCTTTCCTGTATTGTTACACTTCCAGTATTTCAACAGCAGCGTGTGGGTTTCTTTATGTTGGATGTTGCCTATCGTTTAACAGCCATGCGGCAGTCCATGTGTGGATGTGAGGCGGCGTGCGGTACACACGGTGGTGCCATTTCACGTCCCTTCTCTCCACACGGACAGGCGTTGTTGATGTCGTACTGGCGGCAGCGCGTAACAGCAGCGTTAATGCAACAGGAATTACCATCACAGAGTATGAATAGCAATCACAATCACAATAATAATAATAATAATATCCATAACAATCAGTATAAAGATGAAAATAGTCAAAAGAAGAGTCATGAAGGAAACAATAGTAGCGACTCGAATGCCACCTTCTCATTCCGTGGGCTTCACGAGAAGGTTTTGGCGGGTGGATGTTACATACATGAAGAGGACTTGCGTTTCTTTGCTTATCATGATGAACGCTGCTTCTACGCGCGGATCACACCAGATGTGCCAGTTCCTATAGTGAATACAAGACGCAAAGTACCACCACCAGCAGGAGGAGGAGGATCAAAAGCAATAATAACAAATACTTCTTCAGATAATGCTACTACTACTACTACTACTACTACTACTACTACTACTGCTATTATTAGTACGAAAAGTAATGAGAAACAGGAAGAAGACGATAACGTTGAGGACCCACTGGAATTTATACCACCGTCGTCTGAGTTTGTGGGTTCGCTATTACTGTTTAAACACGATGTGGTGTGCGGTGAGAAAATACCGGGTGCTTTTGATGAGCGGTTTTGGGCCCGGGATGCCAGCGGCCGCCATCCATACACCCGTGCTCTATTTCACTACTAGGCTTTGTTTCTTTTTTTTTTCTTTTCGTATTTGTGTTGTTGATGTTTTTCTTCATTTTACCCTTCCTCTTCTGGTGAGAGAGGTGGGGGGTTCTTGGGGTTAATTTCCAACAACAACAGCAACGTCATTTTATTATTATTTCTTTACCGTCACTATCGGCAGCACTGTTGATATGTACACACACATACATACATATACAGGGTTGGTGTAAGCTTTGCATATCTTTCTCTCTGTTTTAAACTCATGTTTTTTTTTTGCATTTAAACTTATTTCTAGATTCTGTACTCTCTTTATGATTTTATCACTTGTGTTTTCTTTTTCTTTCTTTTTCTTTCTTTTTCTTTCTTTTTCTTTCTTTTTTACACAACCACCATACACTTGAGACGGGGAACAATTCTTTGTATTGCAATTATAGCAGCAATAAAGAGAACAGAAAATACCCACAGCTACAAATATATACGGACAAGCGAAGACACAACTGAGTAGAAAAGAGAGAAAAAAAAAAATACTTAAAGAAAAAAGAAATAGAACAGACCAAATCAAAAACAAGAAGAAAAGAGGCATACCCACTTGTACATACACGGGTACAAATTTATTATATATATTATTATTATACAGGAAATCAAAGATAAAGTAATACAAACACCAGACAACGATGCCTGCGGAGGAGAACACGCTTAGTCTCTTCCTAGCTGCGTGCCGCAAAGAGGGAGTGAAGCAGCCTAATACAATTCTTATTGAGTTCTTCCGTGAACACCCATCACCCAGCGAGATTGAGGAGATTGACCTCAGCAAAAACTACGTTGGCAATCGCGGTATTATGGCTCTGCTGGATGTCATTGAAGTCTTGCCAGCATTCCGCTTTTTGAACTGTTCCAACCAGAAGTTGTACAACACCGATCTCAGCGATGACAGTGTTAGAGGGAACGCGACGGTAGATCGCATTGTGGAGGTGTTTAAGGTGCACCCCACCGCCAACGCACTGGATATCAGCAACAATCCCATTTCCAACTACGCTGGTCGCAAACTGTTGGTACTCACACAAGTCAACCGCCGCATCTGCCGTGTGGAGTTGAGTGAAACCCGCGTGGACTTTGAGCTCCGCAAACGCATCACGAAAGAGTGCGAGAAGAACACCATCGCCCTGTGGGAGGCGCAGGAGCCGGAGACGCCGAAAGAAGAGGAACGGGCATTCGGTGAGGGCCCCGTGTGGGTGCCCAAGCAGGCCGCACCCGATCTCACGGCCATTGGCGGTGGAAAGAACAGACGCCGCACCGTGCGCAGTGAAGGTATTGACCCGGAGAAGGCAAAGATGTACAAACCACCATACTTTGAGAAGTCAGAGGAGGAGGTGCAACTTATCACGAAACTCCTCACACACAATGTGCTCTTCTCATTTCTCAACACACGTGATATTAAAACCGTGGCAGGTGCAATGCAGCGGGTAGTCTTCAAACACGACGACTGTATTATGGAAGCAGGACAGACTACATGTGATAAACTGTACATTATCCAATCTGGCAATGCGGATATCATCAAGGAGGGACAAAAGGTGTACTTAAAAACAGAAGGCACAGCAGTAGGAGAGTTGGAGTTAATGTATGATACGCCTGTTGTGGCCACTGTGAAGGTGTGTACAAATGAACTCGTGGCCTGGGTGTTGGATCGTGAAACGTACCGCAATCTCGTGATGGGAACGGCCATTCGTCGCCGTGAAACTTATATGCAATTCCTCGCAAATGTCCCGTTCCTCGGCGGTCTTGACAATTATGAGAAGTTACAACTCGCCGATGCCCTCAGCAGTGATGAGTTCGAGCCCGGTAATTACATCATCCACTACGGTGAGGAGGGGGAATGGCTGTATATTATCATGGAGGGCACCGTTGAGGTGATTGGACGAGATGCGAATGGAACCCCCACGCGGGTTTGTGAGTTCACACGCGGTGATCACATTGGAGAGTTGGAGTTTCTCAACAATCACCGCACGGTTGCCGACGTGGTCGCCAAAACGCACGTCATCACGGCGAAGTTAAATCGCCGACACTTCGAGATGTGTCTCGGCCCCGTGATGGATGTACTCAAGCGATGTGCACATGATCCAAAGTACGAGTACTATCAGAACGTTCTCCGTACAGGTGCCGCCCCACCATCACATGCAGAGTCATCATGAGAGTATTAGAGGATAGAAGAATAGGTCTATTATATATATATATATATATATATATATATAAATATAATGCTGTAGGTGTTTGTGTGTGTGTGTCTTCTGAGTCAATTGGCAAATGAACGGGAATAAAGAAAATGGGCGGGAAAACAAGAACAAAAACAAAAGGAATGGAAAGTAATAAGAAAAAAAAGAATCAAGAAAAAAAAGACCAATCAGGATAAGGAATGGAAAGAAGTAGATAAAACGAAAAAAAAATGAAAGCAAAAAAAAAAAAAAAGAACCTTTTCCAAGAGTGATCGCAAGAGTGAAAACTTCAACAGTGTGGAGGATAGAAACAAAAAAAAAAAATAATAAATCTACTATCAGTATTATTGCTTTTATCATTGTCACACTGATATTATTATTGTTCGAATTATTATTAGTAGTATTATTATTATTGTAATGATCGCTCTTTTTTTTTCTTGAGGACAAATGATGCTTGAACACACACACATTACCTATACTAGCAGAGAGTCTCATATGTATAAATTATTGCTTCTTTGTCTTTTTTATTTATTTATCTGATAATATATATATTTATATTTATATTTATTTATTTATATATATATCTATTATTGTAAATGTGAATGTGTGCTTGTACAAGTGCATCCGTATATCATTTGATGGTATATATATGTTCATATACTCTTGCGTGTGCATGCAGGTGTTTGGGTACATTCACCACGTTACATGTGTCAAGTTTTTTTTTTTTTGTTTGTTTGCACTAACCTCGCCTGTTCCGCAGGTGAGATGATGAGAAAAAAAGAAATAAAATCGAACGGTCACAACAGAACAACAACAAGAACGAACAGAACAGAAATGAGGTCATGCAGTTTTTATGTACAGAAGAAAAAAAAAAAGAATGTGAGGGAAAACTGGGGAGAGTGGTTTGCATTTTCTTTCTCTCCTGATGTGTCTGCATGTATAAGCTTTATTTGCTTATTTGAACCTGCGCTATATTTTTCCCTCCCTCACCCACTTCACCCCTTTCTGTTTTTTTTCCCATTCTTTCTTATAATTTGTTTTGCGTTTCTTTTTTTTTTTATGTTTTTTTTTTTTTTTTT